CGTCAAAGACCCGAAATGGCTATATGCTTGAGGCGGGGGGCCTGAACGGAGTTAAAAACAAGAACGAAAAGCCAAGGCACATCGACGAGGATGGGCATTCCGAAGGGCCATTTCGATTATGGGCGCTTATTTCGACAGATGGGAACTGGGCATAGAGCGACACGATGGCTGGGCGGGGCGACTGCCGTCGAGCTCGTGGCTGTGAGCCGCACTTGGCTTGCATCGCCGGCTCCATCCTCCGTGTCGGATGGCTCGAAGATAAGAGAGGATGAGGGTCACGCTGGTCGGATTGGCAGTGAGGGCGGCGCATTCATCATGTCAGTACAGCCGTTGTGAACGTGAAGGCAGTGACCATTTGGCGACCCGATATCGAAAATCCTTCATGCGTCCACAGCCAGCGCCCTTCAACAGAGCGATACGCTCCGGTCCCGACGCGTACAAGAGTGAGTGTAAGCCTCCAGGCGGGGGAACCTCGTCGGCGTTGCGGCTTCGAGTTGTTCCCACCATCAATTCGGCCCAGTGGTCAAGCAGCCCTGCAGAATCAGTCGAAGGAGAAGCCTTGTACGATTCGTGAAGGGGTGAAGCGTCCTTGTCTACAGTGATGGGTCGTGGACTCGTGGTGGTTCAGAGTAAACAAGCTGCTGCGGGCACTCGCTGTCTGTGCTTAGCGCTGGCCTCATACTTCCTGCTGCGCATCATTCAACAGCCAATCAAGAGGTTCTTCGCTCTCTTCCGCAGTCTGGCCAAAGTTTGGCAGCGTTCGTCTACACCAATCAACAAGTATATACGTAGATCTCATTAGATGAAGTGATGTACAACACGGGTTACAAACAAAGCGACGTAGGTTCGGGATAGAGGAATCATGTCCATCGTCTGGTCATCATCATCGTACTAGGCATTCAAAAGAAGTCTGGGGTTTAAGCCAGGAAGAGGGCAGCGACACCAACAGCTCCCGTCACGAGCAGCGAAGCAGGCGCGGTGAGGCCTGCGGCTCCAGAGCTACCGCTCGACGAGGACGAGGATGCGGACGCGGACGCGGAGGCTGCCGAAGCGGCCGAGGCGAGCGATGAGGTGGCCGAAGCTGCCACGGCTGATGCAGACGACACGATCGACGAGACGGCCGACGAGGCCTCTGCGCCAGACTGCGACGCGGAAGCCGCCGAGGCAGCGCTGAAGGATGTGAAGGCGGCACTGGCGGAAGATGCGAGGGACGAAAGAGCGGTTGCTCCCGTGAAGACCGGGGCGGTCGCCGTGATCGTGCTTGCACCCGACGCGGTGCTCGCGTTGACGGATGGGGTAGCCGAGGCGGCGCCAGACGAAGTGTCAACCTGTAGCAAAGTAAGGTAACGTTCATATACTCAAGATGACGTGGACGAACCGTCAAAGAACCAGTGTCGACGCCGAGTTGCGCGCACGCAGCCATGAACTCTGTGCAACCAAATCAGCAGGTTGATCCTGTATGCATGAGCCGAGAACTTACGTCCGAGGAGGCTCTGAGCAGTTGACTTGGGCGCGGTCCCCTCAATGACAATGCAGTCGGCGCACTGCACAACCTCAGTGATGACGTTCGAGCTGCAGCATGCCGATGCAGTGGTGCAGTTCTGTTGGCTCAGTTGTCAGACAAGTTCCCCATACCACCATGGCAGCGAGCTTACCTGAAGCGCAGTAGAGGCGTTCAGGCAGGTAGGGCAGTCGCTATCGTGACGAAGCACGAGGTCCCTAGACTCTACAAGAGAGCGGGGGAACGTCGAGAACGCGAGCGAGGCCGTAGCCAGGGTGAACACGGAGAGGGCACGGAACATCATGATGGCGATGAGGCACGACGACTCGGACGAGGGCGAGGAATGCACAAAGTTGAACTTCCTTCCCTCTACGTACTTTTATATCTCGCCCGAGCCCAACAACCCGCGGCAGGGCACCGTGCTCCACGACCGTCAAAGCCTCGAGCGTAGAAGCCAGAAGTGACTGACATCACAGAGGGCATGCTGCAAGGCACGGGTGACGGTGACGAGGACAAACGACGCAACGCCCCACTCGGCGTCAGTGCTTATTCGGCAGGGGGAAAGGCTATTCTTGATTCGTGAAGAGATAGAGCCCGAGGCGTTGACAACGCGACTGTTGTATACAAGTAGCCCTGAGGCATCAAATCGCACTTGCTGGTCTTCAATGTGATTGCAGAAACTGGAAGGTACAGGATTTGACCGTTGTGCGACTCCCTTCGTATCACATCTCACCACACTCTGCGTATCTATGAGCTCACGACGATCAAAATGCCAGCCAGGTAACGTTAATGCTCACCGACGATCTTCACCGCAAGCTTTGGCCGATTATTCGCGCCGGTCGCGACGTTCTCGATCTTCCGGAGGGTGAGCATGCCGTCTATGACCTTGCCGAAGACGACATGTTTTCCGTCAAGGAAATCGCACTTGTCCGTGGTTATGAAAAACTTTGGAGAGGACATGAGCATCCGGCGCGTGATGGTGGGGAAGACGTCAAAGAGACGTACCTGACAGCCGTTTGTGTTTGGTCCCGAGTTTGCCTAAAGGGTACGGTGAGCTTCGAAGTATGACCTTCCCTGAGCGAAGGCAACCGCGCACCATTGATAGCAGGCCAGGACCGGTGTGTTTCTCGATAAAGTTCTCATCCTGTATGTGTATCAGTCTGAGGCCCTCCTCATAGCAATCAAAGGCAAAGTACTCACCGGGAACTTGTCACCGTATATCGAAAAAGAGCCTGTTCCGTCTCCCTTGATGAAGTCACCGCCTGCCAAGAAATGAACAAAGGCCTGACGCAAACTCATTCTGCCGGGCCGCACCTTGGCACATGAAGTTCGGGACCCTGAAAAGTTTAATCGACACGCGGTGCGTGTTGCAGGAGAAAGGCGGCTTACACTCTACGTCGTGTCGCTGGTCATGAGCCTGGGTTAGATATCGCAGTTAAGATAGACGCAGGCGTACCTGTGGAAGGTCGCGTTCTTGTATCCCTGCGGCTTCAGGTTTACCCTTAACATGACCAGTCAGAGCAGCTCGCATATAATGATAGGTTGGGCTCAGGTACCTATACTCTCCGGTGCATAGCTGGCGGAAGTTCTCTGCTGTTCTGTGCACTTGATATGAGTGTAGATCACACTTCTGCTTGAGTCGCGGCGTACTTTGGCACGATATCGCTGAACAGCTCCATTTTAAGACGCCCAGCAGGCGTCTCGCCGATGTTGATATCCATAAACACGATTGGACGTTGGGTTGACATGGTAAACACGATGAAGGCAGGAGGAGAAGAGCGTGGACGCGTCTCGCCGCGCCACAGAACGCGATCGGAACCACGAGAGCGCGTGCAGCCGCGACTTCGCCGCTGACCACCACCATCCTTATACCCTTACCATGTCCTACTTCCTTCCCCATCTACCCTCCGGCTGGCATGTTGATGAGGCTATCAAGTCTGAGGAAGATCGCGTGGTTGTAATCCGTTTCGGCCATGATTGGGACTCGCAGTGCATGACGATGGACGAGACGCTTTATGGTGTCGCGGAGAAGGTGCAGAACTTCGCTGTGATATACCTCTGTGATATAACGAAGGTGCCGGACTTCAATAAGGTATGGAATGCTGAAGTATCTCGAGGTGTAAATGCTCATGGTGCCACAGATGTACGAGCTATACGACCCATGTACTGTCATGTTCTTTTACCGGTGCGTTTGACCCAGTAAAACACAAGATCGTTACTGACACCCTCCCGTCCAATATCAGGAATAAGCACATCATGATCGATTTGGGTACTGGTAACAACAATAAGATGTGAGTATCACTTGATTCAGGTATCGCATCACGCTAACCCAGCGGTTGGCCGCCGATAGTAACTGGGCTATGGACAACAAGCAGGAGGTTCGTACCGCATACTCTACCACGTGAAACCGGTTGTCACATGCTTTATAGATGATTGACATCATCGAGACAGTTTATCGTGGCGCGTCTAAAGGCCGTGGTCTCGTCGTGTCCCCGAAGGGTAAGCCTCCTTCCTTTTCTTGAAAGCGTCGGTCCCTAAACGTCCATGCGCAGACTACTCGACACGCTACCGGTACTAGTCATACCCTGTGTACGCCACTTCCTCCACTTTGTTTTTGTGTTTGCTCTGTGTTCCTACTTGTACATCCCCACCATACACCAATGTTGATGCTCGCTCCCAAGTTCCATGAACCTTGTTGCATCCTATCGTCCCGTGGATGATAGATGGCGGATGGTATCCCGCGCTTGTCGAGGATAGCCTTTGTACCTCGCTCGCTTGCAGGGTTCTCTACGCCCATTGGTCAACTCTTGAGGCTGGCCATTGCATGGTCCATCTCACCTCGAGTTCGCATGAAGTCCGGCCGCTGTACACGGGAACACCGCATCACGGCGCCTTTGCCTCAGCTTCAGCTTAACCCAAGCGCGCCTGTCTGTCAACATACCTGCTATCGCGCGCCGTCGTCTTTCCGTAGATGCTGCCGGATCATCATGAATGTCGCGGCAAAGCCTCGCAAGTACTGCCACGCCAGTACGGAGCCAATGATGAGCGCGAGAACGTTGAGCGTGAAGAAGATTGGGTCCTCGAAGAGGCTGCTCATGGTGGTCTGCAGGAGGGGACATCACGCCGCTCAAAGCATTCTTATATGCGCGCATGTTCATAAGCGCTCATCTCGTTGTGATTCGCGCAGTCCGTGTCATGGAGTGATGCTCGGCATCGAGCCTCGAGGATCAAATTGGGATATGTGCTAGCCCTACTATTGTTTGCACTATCACGACAGGAAAGTTCATGCCCGAATGGGGCTGTCTTGAAACATGACAACAGGAAGCAGAGAAGTTATGTCGAACCGGGACAGCCTGCGCGCCCGCATACATGGTAACAAACCTACTGGAATCAAGTGGTGCCGGATACATCATCACATGCGGACAACCATTGTATTGCAAAGGCGGGTTGCCGATGATTGGTGCAGCAGCACCGTTGAGGCGAAACATCAGCGCGCCGACGACTACAGCTTCTTGACTTCTCCCTCTCGAATCTGGACCACCGCGCTCATCATCTCTTGGCGCTTGATAGGATGCATCTCGCGCGTGAGAGGGGCCTACAACTCTTTCGCAGCTCAATCGTACTGAGGGTAATCCGCCCTAAGGTTATCAAGCTTACACTCTCATCTACGGCGATTACTCAGCTGTCCCGTCTGCTGCGAGCTCTGCCTTGTTGTCAGGCTTCGGGAAGCCCCGTCAGGACGTGTAGATGGTCTCATGCATAACTGCAACCATAAGCAAGGTAAACAGGAACACTGTCGATGATGTGTTACAGGATACATCGAACATGGCATGCACGTCCACCCTGACGGTATCCCTTGTTGCCTGTAGGGACCCCTTAAGCAAGTTCCTCCACAACCCGGCGTCATACCCTAGTCTCTGCAGGTCTCCGCCTCTTTCGCCGAGGGATTCTACACGTGTAGATCCTGTATCTCAAATGACCCTGGCGTATGGGTAGTGCGAGCAGGGCGACAACATAGCCATTCGGCTGAGGGTGGCGGCCGGAGTAGGTCGCGGTCCGATGAGGCCTGTTGGTACAGCATCGAGCACGTGTATTCGATTAGGCAGTGGCGGAGATCAGTGCCGGCGCGGAGATGGTGAGGTTCTCCATGGCATCCTCAAAAGTCTCCTCTTCGCTCTCCTCGTCCTCTTCCTCTTCTTCGCCCTCGCTATCCTCGTCATCATCCGACTCATAATCCTCGTAGTCCAGCTGACATCCGTCAGTACTGAAGCCGACAAAGTACATATATGGTCACTTACAGGGTCAAATATGACTCGGATGATCAAAGAGCAGCTCGGGCACGTCGCGATGTCCTCGCAATTAGCCAGCTGCCGCTTTGTGATCTCGAAGCGGTCGCCACAAGGACAAGGATAGTGGAAGACGCCCTTGCTCTCGTCCCACGTCATATCCTCGATTTCAATCTCATCGTAGTATGCGCCCATGGCGGACTGGCGCGCCAGACAGAGGACAGAAGCCCGAAGGAGGGTGGTGGTGGCAGGAGTCAAGCTTTGCAAAAGTGCAAGGAGCAGACAAGATTGAAGATCCGAGCTCCGGGGCGATCGGGCCGAGATCTCCGCGAGTGCGAGAGACGGTTGAGAGACGGGCGCGCGCCGACGGTTGCCTCGACACCGCGATGAGCTCAACCTTGGCAATTGACCAACATATTCGCTACATACAGAACCTCGGAAAGGCTACGGATGACTTGACATACCACCTAACCGCACATCTGAGGACTAATGCAGTTTACTGGGGATTGACGGCCTGCTGTATCATGGGTCGTCCTGATGCTCTGAACAGGGAAGAGATGATTGAGTACGTTATGAAGTGCTGGGACGATACCACTGGTTCGTGCCTCTGATAACAGCCATTAAACTTCTTGGTGATGTGTACGCGACGCAGGTGGATTCGGTGCCCATCCAGGCCACGACGCACACATACTCTCGACCCTGAGCGCCGTACAGATACTCGTGACCCAGAATGCGCTGGGCATCCTGGACGTCGACCGCACGGTGCAATGTACGAGTTCCACAGTCATTGTAACTCTTCTGCTCACGAGCTCATCAGACATCGCCTCTCTACAGCAACCATCCGGCGTATTCGCAGGTGACTCCTTCGGCGAGATCGACACGCGCTTTTCCTATATCGCCCTCAACGCGCTATCCCTTCTCGGACGTCTCGACGCGATCGACAAGGAGAAAGCTGCCGAGTACATCAGCAAGTGCAGGAACTTCGATGGTGGGTTCGGCAGGATCATCGGGTCGGAGAGCCATTCTGGTCAATGTAAGTCAGAATATCTGCCGGTGTATGGTGCTTGTCTGATCGGTATGTAGGCTTTGTCTGCACCGCGGCGCTTGCGATACTGGATCGACTTGACATCATCGACCAGCCTATGCTCGCTTGGTGGTTAGCGGAGCGTCAGCTACCGAACGGTGGCCTGAACGGCCGCCCGGAGAAGCTTGAAGACGTAAGTTGCTCTTGAACTCGCAGATCGACTATCACTGAGCAGTCGCTAGGTTTGCTACAGCTTCTGGGTGCTCTCGGCGATGTCAATACTGCGCAAGCTCACCTGGATCGACTCCGAGAGACTCATCAACTTCATTCTTAGCGCGCAAGACACCGAAGCTGGTGGCATCGCGGATAGACCAGGGGATATGGTCGATGTCTTTCACACTCACTTCGGCGTCGCCGGATTATCGCTACTTGGGTATCCAGGTTTGGTGGACCTGGACCCAGTATACTGCATGCCAGCTCCCATCATTGATAAGATGGGCTTGAGGAAGGGCTGGGAGGCGTTACCTCGAAAAGCCGCCCAGGTGATCATGAACATGTAGCTACAGTACCAATGAAAGAGTCATACTCGCACATGATAGTTGGCGGATACTGTAGCATACGTTGGCCCCATCGGGAGGAGTGCAATCTCACGCCAGGCATGCCATAGGTACCCGTGGACTTGACAACATCAACATATCTGTGATTTATACCCGGCTCCCCAAGACGAGTTGCGTCATCGCGTCCTCGATGGATTCGCTTGACGCTTGAGATTGTTAACGCGCAAGAGAAGGCACATTCCACACTGGTTACCAGGTGTATCGTCGAGATTCGTGGCTGCAGATGCCATAAGGCTAGATCGTTCGCAGGCATGTCGCTCTCAGTTGCTAGAAAACGCGCGAAAATACGTAGAAATAAATAATTGATCTCGCGTGATCGCGTCAGTCACGCGCCGCCAGGAGTCCCTTGTCGTCTTCGTTGTCTGCTTCCTGCCTTCTCCACCCATTCTCAGTCGCCTCGCAGACGCGTGTAGCGCATAGCAATACGCCTTCGCCACAAACTTACGCAACTCTCTATCTCATATAATGGCCGAGGAAGGAACCCAGCCCGAGGTGAAGGCCGAGGACGGTCCTAACGCGCCGATCAACATCAAGGTGCGCATAGCTGTGGCCCAGAGAGAAGCGATTTCTGACGCGTTCTATGCTATTGTCTCCTTCTTGATCATATCTCACAATGATGTCTTCTTGTGTACATCGTCTGTGTTACCCTTATGCGGTGTGGGACGCGTCCTCTTGGTCCGGCGGCTAGGTTGTGTCATCGACCGGCGAGGAGATATATTTCAAGATCAAGAGGAGTACGAAGCTGAGCAAGCTCCAAGGAGCTTACGCAAACAAAGTCGGAAAGGACGTCGCCAGCATTCGGTACGTATCGGCTTCGCGCTCTCCCTATTGCCAGCGGGCTATTTGGCTCCCAATTGGCGCTGGAGCCCGCGCTTTCCCGAGCTGGCATTCGCGTGACCTGTCACTGACATATTTACGTGACTCACAGGTTCTTGTACGACGGCAACCGTATAAACGACGACGATACGCCATCCTCCCTCGACATGGAGGATAACGGTACGATATCTCCTTTCACTCTCACGGACGTTGGAGATCTCACGCGTATTGCCATATCTAGACACCATCGATGTCATGGTAGAGCGTACGTGCATTTTTCTGTCTTTTCTGCTGTTCAGTCCCACTCACGTGCTTTCAGAGGTCGGTGGCTCACCAATTTGGTGAACCTCTCCTACCGTCTCACGTACCACTCGCTTTGCATCGTCGCTCTAATTATATGTCTCCTACGTTCTTGTTGTTCATATCACCCGCACGTCAATGTATCTTTGTTCTCGCTCCCTGAGATTTGTCCGCCCGCCTTGCTGCGTGCCACCCGCTGGCGCCACACTGACGATACGCCCTGTCGCTCATTGTACGGAGCATCCTGACTTTGCCCTCAAAACCCTTCAGCCCTAGCAGTCCTGTTCATTGCGATGATTCAAGCCGTTTGCCACATCCCGCAGTCAGCCGGGAGGCCAATGTGCTTAACCCATTCTTGCGACGACTCATCCGTATGCAAGTCGATGGCGCAACGACGCTGTTACTCAAATGGGCTGAACCGGCCAGCCGATACCCAACCTCACTGGTTGAACCGCCCCATCGACCATCAGGATCAAATTAGGGGACATACTCACGCCGTCCGAGCTGTCTAGCTACTCCTGCTTCTAGAAGGCTGCGGGTCTCTCATACGCGCGAGTAGGTCTCCTTTCTGAGGCAGCTGAGCATTTTTCTGAGTGCTTCCGCAGGAAAGATGTCTCTGTATGATCCCGTAGTGCGCTTTTGCATAGCTGCAAAGTGGAACATCGCATGCTCGAGGTAATGAGCGAACCTATATAACCAGCATGCGCGTATGTAAACTTTGGCTCCAGCACTCTACCTCCTGTACATCGCATTCAGACCTGGCCATACCCTTCGCGCAGCGATGCAGTTCAAGTTCATCATCATCCTCTCTGCGGTCCTTTCGGGTGCGTAATCCCAGCTCTCGATATTCCGCAGATACTGACTTTCACCAGTCACCGCTGCTCCTGAGCCCATCGAGGTCGAAGGGCGCCAGCTCCTGAGCGAGATCGAAAGCGTTCTCGCGAGCGTGACTTCTCCCCTTGCCATAGCCTCCTCGATCGTGTCATCCGCTACAGCTGCCATCGCGACTCAAGACGTCACCCTCACGGACGGCTTGTCGGCTACGTCGACATCCCAGTCTTCGACGGACTCCGCGTCCTCATCCTCGTCCGCGACGACGTCCGACTCCAGCGCGGCCTCCTCGAGTGCTATTGCAAGCGCGATGTCGGACAGCAAGGCCATGTCTCTGTCGTCCGTCGTATCCGTCGCGTCTACCAGTCTCGCTGCCCTTACGACTGGTGGCACGACAGACTCCGCCTTCGCGAGCGCCACGAGCGTGCTTGCTAGCATCGTGTCATCGGCCGGCGCTGCCGCGACTAGCACTGGCAATGCTGATGCGCCGACGGCATTCGTCAACGGGAAGGTCCAGTATGTCGTAGCTGGTCTCGGTGCGGCGGCTGGGCTGCTTCTCTAGGGGGATGAGGAAGCTGGATATATGATTGGTGCCCTATGTGCAATGCATCGGGTTTGTTGTTGTAAGGAATGCGAATTGTGACTGTATCCATGTACATCTGAAGGCTCATCGTCCACTCATGCTTCTCTTTAAATGAATGCATGGATACATAGTTGTAAAGCAGGTAATAAGCCGTCAATGAGAGAAGGCGAACACCGCTTCAACGGTGTCTACGGCAAACACCGGCCTCAGGGTCGAAACATTGATGGCGCGACGTCCGCGACTTTCTGCTCTCCCCACCATCATCTTGAATATCTACGGATACGGATGCATTTACCCCCTCTCAATTGCTTCAATACCAAAAAGGCACTCTTTCCTCGTCGCTGCTTCCGACATAGCGCGTGTGCTGTGTGAAACAAGGGTATTCAAACTCGATGCGCGACTGGAGTTCGCTTCGGGGGCTTTGCCCATTCTTTTGTCCTCTATTCCCTTGTCCGACCGAAGAGTACCACCGCGGCGCAATACAAGGTGCCATAGCCACCAGAAAAGCCCATGTTGCTGCTATTCTTCCCAGCTTTGTGTCTGTTGTTGGACGAGTGGTGGGCGGCTATGCTGTCTTTGGCCATCCGAAGGAAGTTCAAAAGCGAACTCGTGAGACGCGGACATGTCTCTCACCTCGTACAGTCAGTTTCTGGCAACATGATTACACACATGCCTCACAACCATTTCTCCTCCAGACTGCACCTGAACGCTCCTCCACCTTCCTTCCACCTCTCACACGCGTACAACGAGCGTAGTACACTTGGTTTCAATCTTGAGCGCCAACTAGCCATCGGCAAACCCGTTAACCTCCGCTGGCTTTTCAACGCTAGCTCTGGCCCCGGTAGCATATCCGTCAATGGTGTCGAGTTCGACAGAGCACAGGACTTGCTGCTGCTCATGCACTACGATCCGCCAAGCTATCCCGGCAGCAAAGGCATTAGGATCTATCCCGTACAACTATCGCAGGCCAGTTCACCCTTCTCCTATGGTATAGCCATTACCCATCGGAAAGCGCACGAGGCCATCGCTGTCGAATGGGAGCCTTCTGACTACCCACCTGAAGATCAGGAGGACGCACTTCAGCTTGAGATGTTCCTCTGTGGCGCTCACGTCGCTCTTTTCCTTCACTGCACTCAGAATCCACGCGTCATCATATGCAACTGGAAGACCGGGATGAAGGTAGCGGTACGCATCTCTGTATCTGCTCTCATTGAACTCATCTGATAACCAATGCAGATGGTCGATAGCTGGCAGCTGTATACCTCAGCGAGCGTTCCGAATGCAGTTCACCCATCTCATGTTACGCGTTTTGCATGGCTATCTCACGACGCTTTCATGATAGCGTCTGTTGAGCCGTACAAAGGCGAGCGACAAGACGCGTTGTACGTCTACCGTCTGGTAGGGGACTTTCACGCGCCGCTATTGCAAAGCATCGCGCTGGAAGTCCCGAGTTGGCACTACGATCTACGCAATGCGGGTTTCAACCGACATCTTGGCATCGTGACCGGCTCGTGGAGCGAAGATGTCAACGCGGGAGCGCAGCCCTACGATGCACGCAACCGCATCACTGCTCTTACAGATGAGGCCTGGGGATATTCCAGACACGGACCTCTATACAGCATCTACTACGTGATAAGGAACGATGTACTCCTGGATGAATACCTTGCACACCATAGCGGGCGGGTCTTACGCTGGGATGAATGGTCTCGGCGTTGTGTGCAGGTATTCCCAGGACCGAGGAGGGCTGGGCCCGCAGATATGTACGTTATGACCCATAGAAACGATCCCGATGGCGCTGATACCTTGATAGACAGGTGAATGGTTCGATGGTCATGTCTTGCTTTCCTGGCGCCAGGGGAGCTGTACAAATCAAGGTCAACGACTTCAATACTGGGCGCAGAACGTCAGGCAAGCTTGTGCGGAGACACAACTGGGTCGCCGTGCAATGCGGGATGCTTGAGCAAGGCGGCTTGTGGACCGATCTGGCATATCGATCTGTGTTCGCGCGTTCGTACGATCGTCGCATAAGCTTCATCCTCGTCTCTCGCTGTCTCTTCCATATCGAGGTGAGCGATAGAGCTACTTCCTGAAGGCACTTCACTCACACGAACTCACTACAGTATGGGAATGGCTGGAGGAGCGCCGGTTGCATGTATCTGTAGGCTCGGGCCCACTTGGCAGTGATGAGCCATCTATACCCTCCACTCAAGCAATACGTGTGATGTAAGATGCTTGAGGACGCTCGGAAATGCTTGGCATGGTATGCGCTCTGCGTGTGTGTGATGCCCGATCTTTAGGATACGGGACCGGTGACTAGGTGGTGCGGCGTTCAATAGAGGTCAAGTGCGGAAGCTTGCATCAGATCGAGTGCGCGACCCTACTCAGCGCTCGGCAGCGATATGGTGAATTGCATACCTAGTAAGCTAGACGGTATGAGACAATCGCCGAGGTGTTTCTCGCATATCACTCACAAAGTCCAGTCATGGGAACCCTGTCAGACCCGCGGCATCTCGAAGAAGGCTGGCGGGGTCATCGGGCTACCGCCTGATTGTACTCTTGTAACAGAGATTCAGGAGGACTCTATACTTCTGGCGCAGCCTGTCCGTCATTCTGTATACCATGCTTCTGAAGAAAGCTACTTGAGGAGCTGAAATACGTCTAAGAGCGCGCAGAGCCAGAGTCGAGCAAGATAATGGCACAACAGACGTCCGTGTGAGCTCGAGATACGGCGGCATAGATCTAGGCACAAGCAGTAGGAGCTTGTTAGTCCATACATAGCCCGGTTGACGTCGGAGGAGTGACCTGTCAAGGCCTCCACACTAGTCCATGAGAAGTAGCGTCCATTTCTGTGCGAGCCAGAATCTCATCTGGAGTGATGATCATGTCCACGGTCCAGTCGTGCGCGACCGTTGGGACATGGTCCACTACCTGCTCGCGCAAGGCAAGCGCCACTTAGAGAAAGAGGTTCAGCTCGGGACTTGCCGATTAGGGACAGAAATCTCACCGAGCAACGGCCGAGGCGCACCTCGCGCCGAGGTGTAGTTGGTGAGGAAGCGATCGTAATATCCCTTGCCGTGACCTAAACGAGAGAAACTGCGGTCGAAGGCAACGCCTGTGGCGCAGAAATCAGTGCCACAGCAAACCCGAGGACAACGAAGCACAGTTGGAAAACACATACCCGGCACGAAAATGACGTCCAGAGGCGCACTGCCCGGGTCGACGGCTGAAGCGCGAACCACAACAGCATCTTTGAGCGCCGCACAGCTTGACTACTTTTCTTGGACTACTCACCGTTTGCACGGGCCTCATTGTCGAAGACGAGGTCTGGCTCACGAATTCCCCAGAGTCCCGCAGGTAGGGCGCTTAGATCCCGCTCCCCATGTAGCTGGAGGAAGTCCATGTGGCCTGTTCGTTCAGGATCCACGCGTGGCACGTACAAGATCTTTCCACCTGAGAATCCCGTAGGTACAAGCATCTCGGGGCAAACAGAGTTAGGCTTACCGGCTTGGAAGATAGATGATATCAGAAGGCCCGTGTCCACCTCGCCAGAAGGCATGCTCAAATAGCAGCATACTGAATGAGCGCGCGGGAACCACGAAGTCTGGAGGATACGTTCGGTGATTCTCCTCGCTATAGGACTTCATTAGATGTAGCCAGGTTGGGAGAGGAGACCTAAGGTGGTACACTGTTCCTTGATCTCTGCTTGTGACAGAGCACGTAAAGCGGTAGCCACTGACTTGCGTAGCGCACGTTTTTGCAGCTGGAGTGCCATAGTCGTCGTAGAGGCTCTTACTTTGCCTCGGATACGATAGCGATCCGCGGGGCCCAGTCGGAAGGTATGTAGCTATCTTGCGCCCACCGGCGTATAGAAATACTGCGGGACCGCACGCAATACTCGAAGTCGACAACGATATCGCGGTCGAAGCTGGAGTGAGCGCCGCAGGGCGTCGCGGAAGCCGATTCCGACCGCGGCCGGAGTTAAGGCAGCCAACGACTCGTTCCTCTCCTACCACCATCACGACCCAATCATCTCCTGCACAGTCGTTCGTGCAGACCACTGTCCCATCATGGCCCTATCGTAGCCAGATCATACGCTCAGGGGCCTCCAAGTGTACCCACGTCTTGGCGTGTGGCGTGATATAGAAACGCTCGTGAGCGGGTCAGCAGCCTTCGGTGTCTTCCAGGCTCGGGTTTACTGGGACCAACAAGTTGGTGGTAAGTGTGTAAGGCGGACGGCTCTAGGCTTTTTCTGCTGGAACCTCTCAGATAGCGGCGTGCGTATATAAACTGTCAGTGTACGGAAGTGGCCCAGCATGTCCTTTCAATCCGTCAATCAGGCACAAAAACATCTGGCCTGGGACAACAGGTAGATATTTCATTCATTCTCAGTCAAGTCATCTTTGCCCAACCGCTTGTCAGCCTTCCACACGTCGTCACCATTGAGTCTGGCGAAACCGTTATCTTCGACTGTCCCGACGCATCCAATGGGCAATCACGTCAAACCACTGTCGCAGACTCCCTCAAACCCTCCGGCTCCACCACCCTCGACCCAGTCTCCGGACCCATCTACATCACCGGTGCAAAAGCCGGCGACGTCTTACGGGTCGAAGTTTTGAAGCTCGAGACGGCCGACTGGGGATGGACTGCGGCGCTGCCGGGATTTGGGCTTCTAGCAGAAGAGTTCGATGCCGAGGGTCTGACGCCGGCACTGACAATCTGGAAACTGGATCGGGAGAACGGCTGGACTTCGTTCGATGAGGAGAAGGGTATCCGTATTCGCTTGCGACCGTTTTACGGAGAGATGGGGGTGGCGCGGAGTGAGCTAGGCAAGCATTCAACTATACCGCCTTACAACACTGGCGTTAACATCGACACGCGACATGGCGAGTCCTCGAGACTGTATGCGCTTTTTTTTGTTGTATTGATTTCATTTGATGCTCAGTGGTCGCCGGCTCAACGTTGTATCTCCCTGTGGAGGTCGACGGAGCACTATTCTCTTGCGGTGTGAGCAGCTTTCCACAGTGATTCCGAAATCGCTACTTACATGCGGTCTTCTCTCAGGATGGGCATGTCGCTCAAGGTGACGGTGAGGTCGCAGGTCAGTTCGACTTCGTAAGGCTCGGCTATATGCGCACCGTTTCTGACGGAGTGCCTCTCCGCAGGGAGTGCCATCGAGCCCCCTATCAAGGCCACTCTGCGCTTCACGGTGTTGAAAGACAAGAAGCACGTCAAGACCCCTCACATCAAGACGCCGCCGGCGCCCGCGAGTGCGGCGGGCGAAGAGCACTATATCACAACTGGCGTTGAATCGAGTAAGGATACCCATCTATCACAGCTGCATCATGATGCTGAGAAGCGCTTCCGTAGATCTTCTCGACGCCACGAAGGCTGCCGTGCGATACATGATCGACACCCTCGTCGCGGAGAAGGGCTTGACTCGTGTTGAGGCTTACTTCCTTTGCAGCGTCGCTGGTGATCTGCGGTTGCACGAGGTCGTCGACATGCCCAACTACGTGGTTGGCATGATGATGCCCTTGTCGATCTTCGGTCACCAGGCGATGTAGCCCGTTTCGTTTGCTGAGGGTTCGGGGATTTTGCCATCGGGAAGTCTACAAGGTTGTACAATAGCGCGTTGTATCTATGCTCTCCATTGGGTGTGTCACAGACTATATCTATTCCTTCCTGTTGTACGTCAGGACAACCGCCCGAACTGCAAGCAATTGATAACAATAACCGGCCCGACCTCCACACGCTCCCGCACAGCGAGGCGTTGGTAGGCGGATGCACGGCGAAGTCAAGATATGGTAGGTCTACGCTGTGGTGTCTATGAACAAAGCAAAGGCAAAACTCAGTTGAGGAAAGATAGGTGGGACGGGTTGTATCTATAATCTATGTACGTAGCAGATGGAAGCGGGTAGGGAGATGATGAGGGAGATGGAGATGGAGATGGGAGACGACCGCGGCCAGATCGAGCATCGTGTTGGGCCAGATGGCACGGCAAACGGAAAAGGAGATTGATGATGACGGAGGGTGAGATTTGCCAAGTCGATAGAGGAAATGTACGATTCATCTACAGAGTCCCGGGAGTATGGTGACATGAAAGCGAGGGAAGGGAAAACTTCAGTAATGATACACAAATGTGGGTGAGAGTAGGAACTATTGTAGAGTATAGCCGATGAGAGTGAGATAAGAGAGCGTAGGGTCGTAAGATGTTGAGATCCGTTTTGGAGATCCAAGGTTCATACACGAAGCGTAGAGAGCGTCGTGTGTTCCGGGCATGAAGGTCCATGGTACAAGAAACAAGTAAGGAGCTAAAAGAGGTGGAGAAGCGTAGACTATAGACTGAAGACGCCGCCCGCGCGCTTGCGAGACTGAATAGGGAAGATGAGGACGAGTGAGATTCCCAAGCCCACGGTGAGGCCGATGCACGTTGAGATGAGCTGGAGGGCCGTCTGAAAGCCGGATAGGTAGGCCGTACTGTTGCCCGACGTTTGCTGGCTCGCAAACGTAAGCAGGCCGCCATTGCCAAGACCGGAAGGCAGTTGGAACAAGATGCCGGTGATCTATGACAGTGATCAGCGATGAGAACATCGTGTTAATAACAAGACTCACCATGACCACAAAGGCGTTACCCTTCCAGATACGACCGTAAAGGTTGGCGATGATCCCAACGGCGAACGCGCCGACAGCAGAGCTGATGTCGGCCTGGCCCGGGAACGCGAGGCCAGTGAAATGGTTGGTGACCCATCCGCAACACGAGATGAAGACGAGTAGCGGCAACTCCCGACGCCACGCAGGCGCGTGATTCCTCAGAGAGAGGAAAAGAGAGAACATGGGGACGGTCAGGAATGCTAGAAGGAGATATAAGAACCACGTTCCGTACAGTACACGGAGAACACACGCACCCCACCAAGTGGACGGCGTTGCCCTCCACCATAAACTCGGGTCATGGGACGCCGAGCAGGAGTAGTCTTCCGATCCAACAACTTGCTTGATTCCCCGGATCTTGGTATAAACCTCGGCACCGATGGCAAGGCCGAAGCCGAGGAAGAGGGAGTATATCAATGCATAGCACAGTCGCACAGAGCCAGATATGATGTTGCGCGAAGAAAGCTCCAGCGAACCGCATAGCACAAGGTATCCCTATTGTTCGTCAGTTCGTGGCCTCCGACGTGTCACAAGTAGATCAGGCTTACAGGGAGAATAAGCACAACCGATGCGGATGCGATAGCAGAGTAACAGAGCCTATGCGACTCGGCAAGGGCCGCTGCCACAAAGCTGATGAGACAAGAGATGGTGATCCTGCACGTGACGTTAGTTTTGCCCCGGAGGCGATCAGAGGAAGGGCGTACTCAAATACATTGGAGTACAGCTCATGGCGCGCGCTAAAGATCTGAACGGCGACGAGGATGCACCCGAGAGGGAAAGAGATGAGAGAGTCGATGAAGGACCCGCTGAAGGAGACCGAGCAGATGGCAGCCGAGGCCATCCCGCCGAAGAAGATGAGCGCCAGAGAACCGTATGTCGGCTTTGTACGCATGAGATCGTCAAGCTTGATAGAGGCATCCTTCACGCTCATCTCGTCGTGGATGACCGCCCAGTACACTTTGTACGCGTACGTGAGTTTCGCGAGATCAAGCGCAGAGCCCTGCTTGATGAGCTTGACGCTGCTGGTAGACGTGATGTCGTCGTCGAACGAGATGAGCATGGTGTCTGGGAGGTACATGCACGACAGCGTGATCTCCAGTACGCGCGCAGTGCTCTGCAATTGGCTCGTGAGACGATGCGTCGGCCCACCGAACATCATCATCGCCCGCGCAAGCTTGAGAACGAACGTTTGTCGCGCGATGAGGTCCGAGATATGCCTGGTGATGAAGATCTCGGCCTTCTTCTTACGCCGCTTGCGTTCGGCCCGCTTACGCTCATCACGTTCTTCGCGGTCCCGCCTACGTCCGCCGCGCTTATCGTGCTCCCAGAGCTCCTCGCCGTCCGTCTCCGTCTCCGTTCCGAGCGTGCGGATGCTGCCAGGCGTCGTGGGCTGCGAGAGCTGACCAGTAAGAGTGCGCTTCGGAAGACTGAGAACCTCGCTCCACTTGCTCTTGTAAGCTGGTGCGCCGCTGAGACTCGTTGTTGAGTGGTGCTTGGAGGACGTCGGGTGATATGGCGGATGGAAGGGGAACTGCGAGGACGTCGATGCTGACGCCGTTGCGCTGGACATAACACCATCATGAGATCTACTCGCGGCCAACGGCTGTAGCGGAGTGATAGAGTCTGTCGGCGAGAGCAAGTACGGCGGCGAGAAGCTCTCTGGGCTGCCTTCGGATCCGGGAGGCCGTTGTTCGAACTGCATACTCCGCGAATGACGAATATTCCCAATTTTGGGCGGTGTCGCGCGTTGAGGGGCAGCTTCGAAGGAGTAGCGGGTAAGATGATAGCCCGGACGCTTGAGGTTAGGCACGATGGTGCTCGTAGCAGGAGCAGCGGGTCCGGCGGCGGCGCCAGCTGTGGTCGCGATCAAGGAACCAAAAACACCAGCTCCATTGCGCTCCTTCGGGGGCCGAACCTCTCCCATGAGCTTGCTCACATCCGGGAGGGAGAAGCGCTTCGACGTCGGTGAACGGCTGGATGGCGAGTCGTGCGACAGCGTCGCCTCGCGCTCTCGAGAGGCATTGCGGCTACGGGACCGAGAGTGGCTACGGTAACGCCGGGCCGGTGACCGATGGCGTGCCGGCGTTGAGTAGCCCGAGCTGAGTTCATCGTGATCATGCTCGTCTTGGTCGTACAACGCGAGCAGGGCGGACAAGATACCGCCACCAACGTTCATGCCATTGCCCGCGGATGATCGACGAGCAGCGAGATGCTCTAGATCGCTAGGCCCTGGTGCCTTCTCGGTCTCTGGCTCTGGCTTGGGCGTCTTCCTTTTCGGGAGACGGATCTTCGGAAAAGAAGGGAAGACCCGCCGACGATGGGTGTGCGCCCGGACCATGGAAGACGCACTGTCGGGAGGGGGCCCAGGCAGACCGGCGCGTTCGTTGGGATCAACATAGACTTCTCCGTGCCAGTCGTGCGGCTGTACCCGGTGGAAAGCTTCTGGAGAATCCGTCGCCACGGTGTCGTCGTTTAATGTGGATTGCGAAGGCGGTGCGAGCGTAGATCTTCGCTGCGAGAAGTAATCCCCTTGGTGTTGCTGATCGTCGCGCTGGTCAGCGGGCCGTTGCTCTGGAAGGGATGGCAGGGTATGAGGGAAGTGAGGATAGTTTGTCGGTGCAGGTTGTTGAGGCAGAGATCCGGAGGCTTTGGCCGTGGTGGCCTCAGAGCGGGCCCGCTCCAGAGCTTTGGCAAGGGTCTGGAAAGCTTCGGGCTGTTTAACAAAGTCAGTGTGACAAGTTCCGGACGTCAAGTGGGCGAGACGCGTACATCGAGACCCGCCTCATCCAGCGAGTGTACACCATCGGCACCACGATCCCTGGCGCGGTTTGCGCGCGCTACGTCGTCGTCGTCGACGGCCTGCGCCCACTGAACTCGACGCGGTGTGCGCGTGCCTGGCGTGCGCGCTGTGCCACCCCGAGGCCGGTCATCAGATGGAGAACGATTATGGATTGCCTCCGGTAACGGCAGAGTCAGGCGAGGTAGGAGGCGTGTAGCAGAGCCCTCGGCGGTAGAGTGCGAGGGTAAGTCTGGCGAGTCGGCAGCCGACATGGCTGCCAGGTGGTTGAAGAGAGATGGTGGAGGGAGACAGACAGATGAAAGCAGGCGCGGAGCTGAGAGACGTCTAATCAAGCGGACGGCACGCTAGGAATGGATAGGCGAGGGGCCTTTGGCGAAGAAGGGTCGGGTTTGTTGTACACGTTACAAGCGGTCCGAAGCCGTGGAGCGACGGGTTATGAGGGTGCTCGTCGTGTTGGAGGCGAAAGCGGCGAATGGGTGTCAACGGCAAGGGAATCTCCAGCGAAGGCAGTCGCTGCGTCGGAAGACGTCAGGTTACTGGAAGCGTCGGTGAGCACATCATGGTTTTGTGAGGGGCGGAAGGAGAATGGACGCCACCTGCCGAGACCTTTCAAGACATCGAAATTTACCGTTCGGGACGTCGAAGAGCCGCAGCCCGGCAAGCCGCGTCGAGAACCTCCCGGAATTGCTGATCGCCCGGTAACGTTGATGGCTGATATAGATAAAGCTGAACTTTGCAGTTATCGGTGGCCCGGATGAGACTCGCAACGTGCCCGGAGGATGCAGGCCAGTGTGAATACGCGAGAGAAAACCGGTTTTAGGGTTGGTCTAAGTAAAGAAAATACGATGCGGACAATGTCGCCCTGTATTCGAATCTAAGCCAGTATCGGTATTGGCGGCTCCGCAGTATACAGGGACCGTACTTTCCCGTTGGGACGAAGGATGAACCAGGCTAACGACCGTGAGTTCCGCCATACAGGTTGCGGTGTGATGAACGACAATTAGACGTAAACGGTATCTATTCTCTTCCTTTCCTCGTGCTTAAGCAAAGTATGAAAGGTTGCGAGGGGACGCCATCAGCGCTGTACGGGTCCATGCGTTTCGAGACTGATAAGGTGGGATCGACATCACTGCAAGGGGATACAAGCAGCGCTTTCTCCTTTGTATACATTATTTACAAGATTATTGCATTGAAGAAGGAGGTTTAACTCAATAGGATATCCCCTTGAGAGTACGGCGTAAAGATGCGTTCAAAGAACCAATCGCGCATGCGATCGGTGCTTCGCCGTCTTCGCCTTCTTCCTTGTGGCGTGGCACCGGCGCACCATTACGGGACATGTCTGACCGACGTCCTCGAAAACGCCGAAACCGCGGCTCATCTTGACTGTCGACGCGCAACACACACCGGCTGCGCGCGCACACCGGTTGCAATGACATTCTGGTTGGTGAGGCAGTCGAAGAAGTCTACCGAAGGCCTTCGAAAAGGGTGGTGGTGGTCTCAAGGCAAGCCGTAAACGGTTTTTGGCGCGCGCTACTACACTTTCCTAATGTGGCACGGCATGTGACCGCGTTTGATGGAAGCACAGCAACGCGTCGCGGCAAGAGGCGCTGACGCGCGACGCGACTTGAACAGTTCCCACCAGCACCACTTCGGGCAACTATAGTCCTAAACCCGTTGCCCGTCTATGACCTCAACTGGAAATGGAATACGCCCCATTGAGACAGCGTCCGTCGGTAACATCACTGCTGGGCAGGTCATCGTCGACCTCCAAAGCGCGGTGAAGGAGCTTGTGGAGAACAGCTTAGACGCGAAGGCGACCAGTATTGGTGCGCACTTACTCTTTCCAGGTAATATGTAGACTGAGGTCTTCCTTCTCGTATTAGAGGTTCGGCTCAAGGATAGTGGTCTCACCCTGATCGAGGTCGTGGACAATGGCGAGGGCATAGCCCCCGACGACTACGCCAACGTAGGCAAGAGCTCTGCCTATCACACGCCTCAGCATATGGTCTGACCTTCTTCTAGGACTTCGACATGCAACCTCTAAGCTGTCTTCATTCGAAGACCTGACGTCGGTGAACTCTTTTGGCTTCCGTGGCGAAGCGCTCTTCTCCTTGTGCGCATCGGCGGAAAGGGTGACGATTACGACGTCTACTGGAGCAAATGGGCCTATGGGCACCGTTCTAGAGTTTGACCGGTCTGGGAAACTTGTGAGGAGCGACAAGAAGGTCGCCCGGACGGTATGTCTACATGTCTCCTGATCGTAGTTCTAGCTCAAACACGTATGGGGTGCAGCGCGGAACAACAGTGTCCGTTCATAACGTCTTCTTCATTGCCGCAGTCCGAAAGAAAGAAGCTCAACGGAACGTGAAGCGCGAGATGGATAGGGTCTTACGACTCATGCACGCGTACACTCTCGTACCATGCACCCAGCAGAATGGCGGAGTAAAGCTCGTTCTTACGAACCAGTCGTCTAACGGGTGAGTATGCGCTGATCCGGTTGGTGCTGTTTCACTAAGGCTACATAGGAAGAAGACTGTACCGCTGGGAAATCAAGCTCAGAGGACGACATCGTTGCGTCAAGCTGTATCCAACCTTTGGACATCCAAGGCATTGGAGCATCTAGTCGACTTGGATCTCGAATTCGAGGTTGAGATCGCAAAGATCGTGATGCGAAGGCGCGGGCTGGATAAGACGAGGTAAACGCCATGCTGTTTCCGTATTATACTCGCAATGACATTACTTGAGTCCTAGCAATAACACTGTGCGCGTGCGCGGTTTGATCTCCAAGTTCTCGGTGGGATGCGGGCGCAGCAGTGCCGACCGTCAGTTCTTCTTCGTGAACGGGCGCCCATGTGACCCCTCTAAAGTAAGGATGATCCGCTGAGGTGTTCTCACAAGCTGATGTCCGTGCGAAGGTCACCAAAGCGATGAACGCCGTCTACAAGACCTTTAACATGACGCAGTCTCCGTTTATCGTGGCCGACTTCATTATCCCGACGGGTGTGTTAGCGCAATGTACCGGAAAGTGTACTCAGCTGACGACCCTACAGATGCTTGTGACATCAACGTTAGTCCCGACAAGCGTCAGATCCTACTGCACAGCGAGGACCATCTCATCGAAGCTCTCAAGGTGCGTCATTTCCTGAATTAGATACTCCGACTCTGACTTGTCGCGACTAGCGGGCTTTGCAAGAGAAGTTTGGAGACGCGCGATCAACCTTTTCCGTCAACAATGCGCAGGCTGCCCCTTCCTCCTCTCAAGCATCACTGTCTCGTAACTCGTCGTCGCAAGCCGTGTCAGAAGCGGACAAACCTCCCATTCGCCCCCGGCTTCGGAAACCAGTGAACAGCGACTCGCTCGATCTTGACGAGGGTGAGGACCACGAACAGGCTCCGTCGGCAGAACCCGAATCCGAACCTCCTCGACTCACAACACGCTCGTCCTCGCCAGAGCTCCACTCCAACCACGCGTCCGAGAATGCTTTAGAGGCCTCCAGCTTCGCGAAGGCAAAGATAACGCCGCGTACACGTCTTACCTCTCCGGAGGCTCTCTCATCTTATGCCGGTCGTCGCTCTCCCGCGCAGATCGAGCGTATCGTGTCTGCCGCACCCAGCCGGCCGAGCTCCTCGAGGCATCGCGATGTGCAGATGGTATTGGACACGTCTGGCGCGGCGTGGAACTTGCGCCGTGAAAGCGCAGAACCACCGAGGAAGCGACCGCGGGTGGTAGATGAGCCGGTGCTTCAACGCAACGCGTCGTTATCGTCTTCTTCAAGTAATACGTCTCGACTGGCTCGCGCGGGCCTTCGCGACAAGCTCAAGGACTTTGCTCGTGCGGGTAGCCATGCACCGCTCGAGGATATAGGCAACGTCGGAGATACTGAGCCAGACGAAGAAGAGGTCGGCGGCGGTGCCCGAACGGAAGACGTGGACGAGGAGATGCTTGATAGCGATCATCGTGGGGCATCTTCGCCGCCGATCCGCGCTCTGCGCGTCGATCCTGAGACGCAAACGGATGATAGCTGGACTCAGGAAGACCAACTTGCCGGTACTGGTCCAATGAACGTGGATGATGATGGGCCAGATCGCGCTCCCTCCCTCCGGCATACGGCTGAGAAAAGGCCCAAGTCTGCATCACTATCACCATCACCAGCCCCAGAAACCCTTCCTTCGGCTCGCTCCTCGACGCCGCTATTCCTCAGCGACGACGAGGATGATGGCCCTCCTAATGAACCTACGCGTCCCACGGAGGAGCGCGAGTCCTCTCCACCCATTGACTACGAGATGTCTTCGGACTTACACGTCATGCCCGCCGTCAGCTCTCGTCAAGAGACGCAGGACGACGAAGTGGACGTCGACGACGTTACTCAGGATCCCTCGCAGGATGTCAAGTTGGAGGATGACCATTCCTCCAGCATGGTTGCGGAGACTGAGCCGCTCTCTGAAGGTAGTGGCAAACCTGAAGTCACACGCACAGTCGAGGATACTTGCGATGTCACAGTACCATTCGAGCTTGATCGTTTGAGAGCCTTCTGGCAGGCTCGTCGAGCTCTTTCTTCCTCATCAGCCACACGATCCAACCCTGACGGCGCGATGCAAGTCGACGGGCCACACCAGGATGAGGCTGCTGGTCTTGCGAACATCGATGATGAAGCAGCCGCGGCTGATGCGCTTTCACGAGTCTTGAGTAAGGACGACTTTGCACGGATGGAGGTTGCAGGACAGTTCAATAAGGGCTTCATCATCGGCCGACGGCGGACTGATACCCTCGACGATCTCTTCATCATCGATCAGCATGCTGCGGATGAGAAGTACAACTTTGAGACGCTGCAGCAGAAGACCAAGATGGAGTCTCAGCGTCTATATCAGTACGCCAATTTCATAGGATCATGTGACCATAGCGATCTAATCTCCTTTCAGACGCAAAGTCCTCGAGCTACCTGCCGCAGATGCTCTCGTCGCTATCGACAACATCGACGTACTACGTCAGAACGGATTCGAAGTTGAGGTCGAGGGCGATGAGGAGGACGACATGACCCGTCGAGTTGTGCTCCTCGCCAAGCCCGTCAGCAAGAGTACAACATTCGATGAGCGTGGTAAGCCTCTTTCCTTACGCTTCCCGGTGAGTGTATGAGACTGACGCGGTCTCGTTCAGACCTCGAGGAACTCATTCACCAGATGCGGGACTTGCCGGCCGGGACGATGGTGCGACCCTCAAGGATACGCGCCATGTTCGCAAGTCGTGCCTGTCGCAAGAGTGTGATGGTCGGACACCCCCTCACGAAGCAACAGATGACCACGGTATGTAGAAGCCGTCACTACGCATTCTGCCCGTCTGACGCCATGCGTAGATCGTGAGGCAAATGGAGGGCATGGATCAGCCATGGCATTGCCCGCATGGGCGTCCAACTATGCGCCACCTTGCTGATATCTCCTCGCTTACCCGGAAACCTATCGCTGGTGTGAACTGGAGTATCGCGCGACCGGAGTTCGAGTAGCCATAGATATATGCTTCATCTATTCTTCACATGTGCGACTCGCAAGCGAAGCGGGAGATCATCATACTATATTCCGAAAACGTGCGTAAAAATACAGTGATATGCAAGTCGGGGCGTCAGAATTCTCTTCATGCGTGCTCTCCAGGCGCCTCCTCGCCGAGCTGGTGGTGGGCGTTGGCATTGCGGTCGGCAGCCGACTGTACGCGGGCAGCGAAAGTGCCCTTGCCAGTGTCTGCACCCTTCTTATCCTGATGTTTACGTCAGGACATGCTTGTCAATAAGATATGCCGATAGAACGCACCTGTGCAGCCTGAATGCGAGCGGCAGCATCCTTCGTCATCTCGCGCTTGTGAGAGCCGTCTTCCGCCTCGAGCTGGTGGTGAGCGTTGGTGTTACGGTCGGCGGCGGACTGTACGCGTGCGGCGAAGGTACCGGCGCTCGTGTCGGCGCCCTTCTTGTCCTGAGGTACAACTTAGAGAAGGACTTGATCTCACGCGTTGGTACTCACCTGTGCGGACTGAATGCGGGCAGCGGCCTCTGGGGTCATCTCATGCTTGGTGGCTGGCAATGAAGTCAGTATACGCGTTGCTATACAGATCGTCTAGCGCGACGTACGGGACATGACAGTGAACGTGAACTTGTAGTAGTGTACGGTAGTGAAGTGGGTGAAGACGGGTAATTGGGTTCTGGCTGCTGGTCAACACTGAGGGAGCGTATATATACCTGGCAACGGCATCTGCGGCAGCTCTGCGCGCGGTACAGTAGCCAACAAGCTTGATGGGCATGACATGTTTGCGGTCGCGACTTGTGGGGAAGGGTGGAGCAAGAATTTGTTCAAGCGGCCCTCGCGGTCGAGTCCGCCGGCCGGTCTGTCCTCCGTACCACGATTGAACTGCTTCCCAAAACCTTTCAAACCCGTAGGCTCGTACAAACATCCATATTGTAAGTAGAGTTCGAGCAGAGGTGGTGCACCAGGCCGCGCATATCCCGGCCAGCGATTCCTCAAACGAGCGGCATAGAACAGCTTCGACGTGTCTTTTGGCCCCAGTCCAGCGCCGCTCGCGCTGATCGGACGCACCGGTGCAACAAGCGAGTGGCGAATTGGCATAATCGAAGTTGGAGACATCAACGTCATTGAGATCATCATGGTCGAGGATGGCTGGGTGCCGGCGCTCGACGTCAGGCGCTTGTTGGTCGTTGTTTGTCCCGGCCTTCGGGCCGACGCGGCGACGCGCGCACGACGCGTCGGAAGCGAGCACCGAGCGTGCCGCGGCGCCTTGTCTTCGACCGCGACTGTCCCCCGAGATGTCTCTGGACTCTGCCGAATTCCATGCTGAAGTGAATGATTCTCTTGCTCCTAGCTTACTCCAATATGATAAGCGTCGTCTGATAATGAGTGAGGATGCTAGGTATACCGCGTCGTCCGCCTCATCCCGCACGGCAGGGTAACATCCTATGGTATTCTGCAAGTTCACTATCTGAACGAAGAGTGTATTCGAAAGTGAAGTAGGCCACATAGCAAAGCTGATCGGTATGCCTAATCACTCTCGACACGTCGGACAAGGTGAGCCAGACGTGTATAGGCCGCTCGCGCCACAGCTATCCTAACCTTTCACTTCGTAGCCCTGAAGTATCTCGGCGCCGACCTCGATCCACCTGTGCCATGGCAACGCGTGATAGGATCTTCCGGTACCATCTCTCCTCGTGGTGAAGGCGGTGCACAGCGGCAACGCGAAGCGCTCGAGGCCGAGGATGTGGAAGTTCGCGAAGGGCGCACTGGGGATCTCTTAGTTGACCTCAAAACGTATGGGTGGTTCCCTATGCGAGAAGAACTTGACCAAGAATGATATGTTCACTTGTCTCTGTGACTCATTGTGCGATCGCGTGCGTGAATGGCAGAATTGACTCCTGTCGGATACAATCAAGAAATGCGTGATATACAAGATGTGGTCTGCTTCAAGATACATGCACTGTACATCATGATTAGTCTGTCTCCCCAAACCGCCCTCCCTCAATACCCCAACACGGACTTCATAGTCCCCACAATACTCTGACTCCACCCCGCAACCTGCTTCTCGTCCTCTTCATCCTCCTCGCTCTCCCTATCATCCTCCTGCTCTCCCTCCGCCCCCTCCATAGACCCCCAGCTCCACCCAACCGGCACATCCTCCTCAAACACACTCCTATTTGAAAGACTAACCACCATAACATTCTCCCTCCCCGCACTGATCATACTCTCAATATACGTCATCTCACCAGCGTTCTCCTGTGCCCTCCTCACCAGCCCCTCGATCCTCGCCTCCCCCACGCGCCTGTCGTGTTCGGGCAAGTTCGGGTTGATCTGCGCGGATAGTTCGGCTTCGTGGCCGGAGAGCTTGAACAGCGAGAATGTGGCGGGGACTTGTGTGAAGTCGATTTTGACGCCGAGGTCGTGCAGGGGTGTGGTGGGGAAGGTGCGTGCGGCGAGTTGGCGGAGGTGAGAGGATCGGCGGACGGATTCTTGGATTGCGATTGTGTGGTGGAATCTGCGGTCGGATTTGGAGATGGCTCCTTCTCGTAAGCCTGTAGGGTACTGTCAGTTAGCGTGTTGAGAGATACATGGGAGGGGGGAGGACATACGCTCGTACTCTTCGCCCTTGAGCTTGCACTCGTTTTTGTGGCCTTTCTCCTTCCATGCAGTAACTTGGCACTCCTACGGACATCAATCTCAGTCGCTGTGCACGCGAATCAGCGAAAGTTGAGCTGGGATGTGTACCTTTGAACAGTAGTACGTCATATGGCAACCACTACATTTCCTGAACGCGTCTTTGCCAGAGCTCTTCTTGCACTGCATACACGCATCAGTGGGGCACTCGATACGACCAGAGAAGCAGAGATGGCGCACGTTATCGCAGTACTTCATCGTCCCTTCCTCCTCCGACCTCTCCTGCACATAACTCCTCTCCGCAGCCAGATCCTTCGTCTTCTTCCACCCAACCTTCATAATGCTCTGCTGCACCCTCCTCTTATTCTCCGGTGCCGCATCAATCTTATCCATACTCTGCTTCACCGCAACGATAACGCTCCTATACACCAGATACCGCGGAATGATATCCTCGATCAACCGCTTGACGAGTCCTTGCGCCTCCGGGTCGACCATCGCGACGAACGGGCTGACGTTCACGAACGCCTCGAGCAGCCCGTGTTCGACGGCTTGCCGAACATACGTCGTCCCATCACCCGCCTCGATCATATTCCTCACGAACCCAAAACACGCAATAATCCCCTCCGGAACACCCATCTCGCTCGGATGCATCTTGCTGAGCTTGAGCAGCGCGTCCGTGACAGCTTCCATAGCGCGGCGCTTGAGCATGGCGCGTTGGAGCGGGTTCTCGTTGACGATCGTCATTGCGATTAGGACATCGACGTGGACGTGCATGTGTGATGCTTTGCCCTTTTTCGTGGCGAGACGGAGGTTGGAGAGCGCTTTGTCGGCTACGAAGGAGACTTTGCCCGAGCCGGCGTGTTCGATTACCTCGGGGAGGTGCTCTTTGCCGACGTTGTAGAGTACGTGGTGTAATGATGCCGCGGCGGACGGGATCGGTAAGGCGCCTTGGATCTTGTTTTCGGCCAACTCTGACTCCATCTTCCAGAGTTTGGAGACCATGGGAACGATGCCGTCCGTATTGGATACCATGAGCTGGATCTGGTCGTCTTTGCAGATCGAGTAGAGCATGTATAGCAGGTACTCGAGCGTGTTCCACCGCTTCTCGGGCGTTGCGAAAGCAGGATTGGTGTTGAGCGTGTAGAAGAAGATGATCCAGGGATAGATGCCGCCCCAGGCTTCGTAGATGCTTTTCATGATGAAGCGTTCGTCAACGGGGTCGATACGCGCGCCGAGAAGGTTGCCCAATCCCATGCAAGAGTGAATGGCGAGGTTCGCGAGTTTGGTTGCTGGTGAGCCGGGCGCAGCGGGTTTGGATGGGTCCGGTGCGGCTTCACCGCGCAGGTGGTGGAGGAACATGCGCGCGACATCGAGCTTTTGGAGACGTGGGTTGCTTTGGAGGGTGTTGACGATGGCTACGACCTCGGCGATACCGCCTTCGCGCGCTTTGCGGATGACCTGCAGAGCGAAGGCATCAAGACTGAGTAGTTGTGGCGCATCGCGCGCGAAGGCGGCGTACCGCGTCGGGATCGCGCTGGAGTTGGCTTAGGGCACCGTTTATGTTCGGAACGGGGAACATGACCTCAGTAGATTATAGTTCTGACAGGCAGGATTCCAGTTTAGATCGGAGACAACTCAGAGTCGATGCAGAGAAGTCGAGAAGATGATCTATTGATAGATCGGCGCCGAAGCCTGACCAACCGAAAATAGTACCGTACTACGAAGAATTCTTTCAATGATAGTTTGTGAGGCCGACCCAGCCCGAGCACCTTGTAAGAGTCTGAGCGTATCTGATAGTTTAGTCTGTAAGAGGTGCAGATGGCGAGATGGTGGCGGCCTCGGAGAAGCACCTTCGGACGGATTTCCGCGCTCTTTCCGGGGAGGACTTCACGGCCCGACACAGCCACGGTCCGACTCCCTTGCCTTCGAACGTCCGTCATCTCCCAATAATCACCTTCCACCTCCAGACGGGACTGCTGGGTGTTGAACGGTACGACTGGCTTGTATATTCTATCTACATGGAATGCTGATATAGTACGCAGATAAGCGTGCGAGTCGATCCGCGGCCGCGCGACCCCACGTTCCATCTGCACCCATCCCTGGTACTGCAGCATCGCTATTCGGAAGACTCCTCATATACCACTGGTAGCTGGTGCGTGGCTATCCATCTTCTTCGACGATCCTATACTCACACCGGTGTCCAGATAGTCTTATCTCTTATTCCTCGCACCTATGGCGTCAGGCCCGTACGTCTTCAAGCGCTTAGAAATCCGAGTTCAAAGCTAACATGGATATGTCTAGTGAACGCACCATTAAGATCACTGGTGAGCATACTTTACTGCTCGAGTGCTCTGGACGATGTTGCGACTGTGGTCGGGATATCCCTTGGTCAGCATAATCCGACGGGAGAGCGCCAGGCCGTCTGTCAGCCTGAGCCTGAGTCCTTGCGGAGTTCCAGCCACGCCCGACTTTCCCCATCCCAGTCCTTCAGCCGAGCTCGGCCAGCTGTCCGGCGTCTCGTTGCTCCCAACTTTGGGCGTCTGCTCGAAGCGCAGCTTGCCGTGCGCACGCGACGAACTCAAAGGCGTTCGTAACATGAGTTACAGTTCGGCGCCCACGGGGCTACTTTATCTCACGTCGGTGGGCGTGGCCCGGATTATAGTCCTACGCGATGAGATCTGTGGTCATACTTGCCGTACTTGGCGTCTTGCATGTCACCTTTGACAGCTGCTATATTGGGCCGGGCAGTGAACGCGACTGGGCGTTTCATAATACCAGTGCTCTCTGTGCCTACCAGAGCTCTGTGCTACCCGCAGCTCTATGCTATGCGCATGGATTGTCTAGGTTGAGCTGATTATGTGGCATATGCTAACGTGACCCTATAGTCCTGGCGGCTAGTGGCTTAGTCAAGCGCGATTTGTTCTCCCTCCCAAATCCGTTCGCCATCATCACGGTCGATGGATCTCCCGATCCCAAGCAGACCGCAATCTTGAAGAAAACTTTGACGCCTTATTGGAATGAGTCCTTCGACATGTGCGTTTCGCCGTACTTACAACTGCAGTGCACTCGCTGACTTGTACTCTTAGCAATGTCCGCAGCTCCTCCGAGCTTCTCATCCAGGTTTTCGACCAGCGCAAGTTTAAGCGCCAGGATCAGGGGTTCCTGGGTTCAGTCAGCGTCAAGGTCGGAGATGTCCTTGATCTGAACGCGGGTGGCCATGGTGCGTATGCTGTGCCGTTGTATAACATCCTTGTCAACCTTGCTTCTCACACCCATCCATCCTACAGTCATCCAGAACCTCGACCTCAAACCCGGCAGCGACGGTCTCTACGTACACGGAAAGATCATGTTCTCCCTCACCACCGAACGCGAAGACGTCCCCATTTCCCGCTACGGCGAGCTCGGCCAACAGGCGCAGCAGAATGGGCAAGGACAGCAACGCGAGTCTGTGGCGGGGTCCAGCACGTTGCAGCGTCCTAGTACGTCTATGGGTCGGCCTCACGACCACGACAACCGCGGACCGTCGCCCAATCCATCACAACTAGCGCCCAGCGCTTCTGTCCCAGGCGCGGATATCCCCCGCCGCTCGTCCACCCCTGGCGCCGTTGCGCCATCAGTCAGCTTCCCACAACCCCAGATACCCAATCCGACGCCCGCTCCGCCTCCATCACATACACCCTCCGCTGCACCGCCATCCATCGCGCCCAGCGCACCTCGCTCAGATGCGAGCGCTATCAGCACGGGTAGCGCGGACGAGGATTTGCCCGCAGGGTGGGAACGTCGCACGGACGCGCGTGGAAGGACGTACTACGTCGACCACAATACCCGCACAACATCGTGGCACCGCCCCGTGGCTGCCCGCCCATCCGCACCTTCCGCACCCCCGACCGCCTCAGACGGCTCGTATGCTGACGTGCCATTGCCCATGGGCTGGGAGGAGCGCCGCACGCCCGACGGACGGCCGTACTTCGTTGATCATCAAACTCGCTCGACGACATGGAACGACCCGCGCAGGACGCAGGCCGCCACAGCCGCTGTACCACAGCTCGACCGCGCTGCTTTGGGCCCCCTACCGTCCGGATGGGAGATGCGGATGACGAGTACACGGAGGGTGTACTTCGTCGATCACAATACGCGCACGACGACATGGGACGACCCGCGCTTGCCATCATCCGTCGACGCCGACGCACCACAGTACAAGCGCGACTACCGTCGCAAGGTCGTCTACTTCCGCTCTCAACCCGCCCTTCGCCTCGTCAACGACGCCAAGGCCGAAGTCCGCGTCCGTCGTGGATGGGTGTTCGAAGATTCGTTCGCGGCTGTTATGCGTTTGCGACCTGAAGACCTCAAGAAGCGATTGATGGTGCGGTTCGAGGGCGAGGACGGGTTGGACTATGGCGGTGTCAGCAGAGAATGGTTCTTCTTGCTGTCGCACGAGATGTTCAACCCCAGCTACGGGTTGTTCGAGTACTCGGCGCACGACAACTATACGCTACAGATTAACCCTGCTAGCGGAATCAACCCGGAGCATCTGGATTACTTCAAGTTTATTGGAAGGTGTTTGGGCTTGGCCATTTTCCATCATCGGTACGTTCTCTTCGTGTTGATGCGATCGAATGTCCCAATGTTAACATGTCGACAGGTTCCTTGACGCGTACTTCGTGCCCTCGATCTATAAGATGATTTTGGGAAAGAAGGTTACGCTTAAGGATCTCGAAGCTGTCGACTACGAGCTGTTCAAGGGTTTGACATGGATGCTGTACGTCTACACCTGCCCCGCATTAATCACTCGATCTCTGATCCAGCTTTACGCCACAGTGAGAACGACATCACGGACGTCCTCGAGGAGTCGTTCTCCACGACCGAAGACCGTTTCGGCGAGCTCGTGACTATTGAGCTCAAACCGGGTGGCGAGGAGATTCCCGTGACGGAAGAGAACAAGGGCGAATATGTCGAGCTTCTGGTGGACTACCGTATCGCGCGTCGTGTACAAGAGCAGTTCACGGCGTTCTTGGAGGGCTTCACGGACGCCATCCCGATCGAGTTGATCAAGGTCTTCGACGAGAACGAGCTTGAGCTGCTCATCGGCGGCGTCTCGGAGATCGATATGGATGACTGGACCAAGTTCACAGACTACAGAGGGTACGAGAAGACGGACCAGGTCATCGAGTGGTTCTGGCAGTGTCTGCGCTCGTGGCCTTCGGAACGCAAGGCGCGCCTGTTACAGTTCACCACTGGCACGAGCAGGGTGCCCGTCAACGGGTTCAAGGATCTGCAGGGCTCTGACGGGCCTAGGAGGTTCACGATCGAGAAGAGCGGCGATCCCAACGGTCTGCCGAGGAGTCATACGTGCTTCAATCGGTTGGATTTGCCGCCGTATCAGGACTATGAGAGCTTGGAGAAGAAGCTGTTGTATGCGATCGAGTGAGTGCTCGACGTCCATTTGTTCCTGGTCTAGTTTGGTCAGCTTTACTGACGTGGGCTGTAGGGAAACGGAGGGCTTTGGACAGGAGTAGATGGGATCGGCGGTTGACCGTTGGCGCGTTGGCGCCCGGGTGCGTTCCTCGCTCGCCACTTGTTCTGCGCTTGCGGCTTTGTGCGGACGGACGATGCGGACATGTGGTATACCGTATCCGTGTTTTCTCTTTCTGTCTGTTCTTCACGCGACATTTGTTCCTGCTCTCGTGCATCCTTTCACATCATCTACGATCCCTTTCGATGGTCCCTGCTTTGGCCTTTACGCTCGTCATTCTTTGCTACGTTCTCCCCCTCAGTCCCGTCCGTGATTTCCGGTTCCGCCTCTCGGATGCTAGCCTACGATTTATATTGAATTGTTGTACATACATGCAATGATCTGCTCTGGATTTAACATTACACTAGAAGCGCACGTTGCCTACCTACTGCGAGGATCTACGCAGCCAGGGATGACCCGGACGCTTGCTGCAGTACACTAACGTTGCCCGACGACACCGACGTTGGTATGAGCAGTGGGAAAGAATCTTACTCCGGACGGTCTGGTGCTGTGGGACCCTAGTGATGACCGGCTTACTCGCAACGGAAGCCACTGAATTATCAGCCACAAACACCCCCGAGCCAGACGCCGAAGGGCCCCTCTGAACCTTGCGCGGGCGCCAAACGCCACGCACGCCCATGATGCATGCATGATGATGCGGGTAGCCTCGTTCCGAACGCGAGGGGTCCACCCGAACCAAACCCGAACGACGAGAACGTGTCCGTTCCTGTCGGTGGACGTGCGTCAGAGACCTGGTCGTCGTCGTCCCTCACGGTCGGAGTACAAGGCGGCAAGTTCCAGTCGGTACAACTCCGATTCGAGGGGCGCGAACGCGCGGGGAGGTCCGCGCGGGTGGAACAAGGTGCAATAAACCGCTTTAGGCTATAGTTAAGCTAGGGGCCACACTTGTGGGCTTGTCGATGTCCGGCAAGTTCCAGTGAGGTGATACAGCATCTCGGCGATGCGATCTGTGAGGTACAATGAGGCCGGCGGGCCGATCGACAAGCTCTGAGTCGTCGTTTGCGTGCCCATCGCGCGCGTTCCAGGGTGTTTTTAGTGGCGTGTGGCGGTCGTGCGGGCGGCGTGCCACCCGGCGTACGGGAATATCGGTACGGCGGTCTGATATGCGGCGTAACAGGCTGCTTCTTCGTGCAGAGGGCGTGTTTGTTGGGCTTTAGGCGCCGGTGCTTGCCGAGCGCAACGCATCTGCGGGCACCGAAGAGACCTTTTCAGGCGCGGAGAGATGGGCGAGATAGATAGATGCATCTAACCTCAAAGTAAAGAAGCTCGCAGGTACACGGATCTCGGGACGCACCAAGAGGGAGACCTAGGTTGCTGCGCCACCAGCCTATCCCTGAAAAAGTACAAGGTCCATTTCGATGGTGCGAGCTTCAGGTGAACATTGCGCGGGAACGGTGCGAAAGAAACGCAGATGAAGGCAGTTGCTCGTCGGCTCGCGAGGCCGCACATGGTGGCAGGGACTGCTATTCCGGCAATCTCCACGCCTTGGTGGGCGCCATGGTGCGAGGCATCCGAGTGAGGATACATATGCCCGGCTTGGAGATGGAGATCTCCAGCCCCGTCCGTGCCTGCACCATACACAGCGCACGCCCGCGCCTATTCAAGTTCAGGTCGACGGCTTGGGCGCCTGTTGAGAAGGTGGCCGGCGCAGCGCGAATTTGAAAATATGTAACGTTCAATTGCACCCCAAGCCCGTTCGCGCCAGGGCGCACGTCACCTAAAAGGAAAGTAGCTTCTTCGCGGTCAGGGTATAGAGACACATTGCGATGGCTCAAACGCGCCTCAAGCTTACGTTGGATCTGTATATGGTCGAGCCTGTGAGCTAGTGTACGGATAGATGACCGCGACACGGGCGAGATCGCAGCATATAATGACGAGGTTGGTGGCTGAAGATTCTTTTCGATCTTGCCGCCTCTTTGTTCGCTAGGATTAGCCGGGCTTGCGCATCCCAGTTCTAGGAATGTCAGAGCTCCCACACGGCGCCTCACCTCCTTTGTCGACCTACGCCTACATAACCTTCCAGCTGCCACCACCCTCGCCATCCTCCTTGCCTAACACGGTCAACGACTCCACCAACATGGGTCCTACGCGCAGTTCGAATAGGTCGACACGCCGCCAACAGGCCTCGCGGCGAGGCCGTACACAGCGCGGCTCTCCGCCTCCTCAGACCATGCAGTTGCCGCCAGGCTACACGGCACAAAACCTCATCCCGGAGCCAGGCATCGCTGAGAGAACGCCTCGTCCTCCTAGAAAGTCTCATGCGAGACGGCAGCCTGCCGGTCACGTCCCTCGCCCGCGCAACGCCTTTATTATCTTCCGCTGCGATTTTGTCGCGGCAAGACTGATACCGGCGCACACCGAGAACAACCATCGAAATATATCGCGTTACGCAGGTTTCGTCTGGAGCCAGCTCAGCACCGCGCAGCGCACTCCATGGACGACGAGAGCTGACGAAGAGAAGCGGAGGCACAAGGCCAGATATCCCGATTATCGATACAACCCGGGCTCGTCCACCGATGACTCGTCGCCTTCTGCTGCCGCCGGCCACTCGGTCTCTCAGACAAGCAGCCCTGGCGGTGACTATATTGTCATGAGCCCTCTCCCTTTCGAGCTGAGCGCCTCGCCGGCCGCTTACCACGAGGCTCAGCATCTGCAGACTCCGGGCCAGCGACCGCACTCCGCGCCGCCGGACGCCGGTGTCAACGAGCCTGAGCTGCATATGCCACAGCCAGCTCACTTCCCTTTACCAGTCGCTTTCTTCTCAGAGCCATCGCCGGGCGCTGCTGCCACCGTGGTCAATCACCATGCGCCATCACCCGCCTATTTGGGGACCGCGGCGGCACCCACCCTCGCACAGCACGACGGGTTCGTCGGGGCCCCATCTACCATGTACCAGACGGTACCGGTGACGCCCTACGCATACGACTGGCGAGCCGCTAATACAGATGATCCTGTAAGTCATCATTCCGCATGTGTTCCCGAGGTAAAGCGTTTGCTCACATTGCACCAGGCTTTGCGTCGATACCATGAGGCTATGCAGCATTACACCTTGTATGCGCCACCCGAGACAGACAAGAAGCCTACTGAAGAGGAGCTTGCCGCCGCGTCGTACGAACGTGCCGCTTCGACGACAGACTTCTTAGCCCCTTCCCCGTACGCATTAGAACTGGAGCCATTTCTCCCGCACGCGCATTACGCTCCCTACCATAGCAGTCTCGACTTGCCTTACGGTCCTCAGGGCGACGAATTTTGGGCCGGCACGGTGTATACCCCGTACACTGCGGAGTCTTCGGGGAGTGCTCATAGTGGTTACGCGGCATACTCACCACCGTCACCGGACTCGACGACGCTTGGTTCTGCCACGCTTGTGGAAGATCTGGACCCTTGCCTGGTCACCAGCACACAGACGTACGAGTCTCAGAAGGGCATAGTCCTGCCATGGGTTCCGAGTATGATATAGATGTTGGCGACTCAGAAGGATACGGACATTGCACGATTTTCGCTTTCCATGCTTATTGCTTCTCTCTTCACGACACGACCTGCTTCTCCGACCTGTTCCCTGCACGTTACACGAGCCTCAGTACACACATATGGATATAATCAATCAGATGTAGCTTAACACGACGATGGATAACCTCGCCGAGGGAGAGGGATTGATCAAGAGCCAAACCAGAAACAACTTTCCGCGTCACAGACGGTGGCGGGCCGCGTCCACTCAGATCAACACGGCCACGTGAGAGTTCGGCGCATCGGATCAGCTCGAAGGCGCTTGGGTCTTGACGACGACGAGAGTCGTCTGGGAGAGTAAAAGATCTTGTAGCCGACTGTTCGATGATCCACTGTGCTGTGTGATATCTATCTCCGTCTGCTTGTAGACGTGTCGCTACGTCGACGCCCGCAATCATGAACGCCTTCTCTGCGACTGAATATAACCGTGCTGTTCAGCAACTACGATCTGCTCCGAATCAGGTAAGAATACAGGCATACCTCTGACAGCTCGAATCGCTCAAACAAGATCATCTTGCATAGGCCCTTACACGCGCGGAAAATGGCAGCGTAGTCGAGACTGTCCTCCTTGCCAACACAGCCTCAAGGGATCCAAGTCTCCAAACAGCGAGAGTGCTGCAGATCTTTTGTCACCATCTTGACTCAGAGCGCGTCCCAGTTTATCATACGGGAGCTGGAAATGGGGCACTCGAAGACCTGGGTACGTTTGATCTGATCTCCTGCCCATCTCTGCTTGAAAACATCCTCGAACAGCCTCTTCCGCACTGCTCGGCATTGGGAATCTGGGCGCTCAGGTCGTCTTGGATACAATACCCGGCTACATTCCCATTTTGGTCGAAGCCTGGCCGGGAATATATCGATGGATGCGATATTTCGACACCCGCAACCGCGACGCCAATAGTCCCATCTCGGCCATGAAGCGCGCAATAGGGCAGGAAGTCATTGCGCTGGCCTTATACGCCCTTACTAGCGAAGACGAGATTCGGCACCTCGCTCTCGCGACAAACGGGCTAGTTGAATTGATCGCGAAACTGTGGTTGGACGAGGATAGAACTAGGATAACCGCTGCCGAAGGATCCTTAGGCCTTCGCGGAGCATCGTGCGCCCTCCATACGACGCTCTTTACCGCGGACGCACAGCAGCTCGATGAGTTAGTTAAGATTGCCGGCGGAGACTACTCAGTCGTTGCTGATCTTGCCGTTGATCGTCTTCGAAACACCCTCGAGCTCAAACCCCCACCGCCTCTGTTTGCAGATCACGTCTTTGTATATATCGACACCCTCGTCACTCTCACCCGTTGTCCATGCCGCCTCCAACAAACTATTCTTGACTGTGGTGCTATCGTCTACGTCACCCGCGCGCTCAACAGACTCGCCAGCTTACTCTCCGACGGCTCGGCGTTTCGCGCGACCATGTCCTGCTTCGGCTTCATATGCAACGTGATCGAAGAAGTTGAAGAAGCTGCGAACGTGCGCCGGGCAGTTCGCAATGGCATGCTTGAAGCGTTCGTAAACTTCATGCCCAGGATGGCCGACTTGGGGCGGCAGAACCAATTATTCCTCAAGAGACTCATCGGCGATATCATACCTCGCTACCTGGTTTACCGCTCCGTCATCGTGCTTGTCATACCCGCGATGGAGAAAATTGACGCAAACCCTGTATATGTCAAGCAGATCAGGGCGTCACCTTTTAGAGATGCATGGCTGAAGACGAAGCAGCTTGCGAAGGAGCGCTGGCAAGTGAAAGATACGTCGGACGTGTTGAAGAACGAGCAAAGTTCTTGTGATAACGTGAGTATATTTCGTTGTACAGGCTCATACACTCGCTCATCGGGAAGATAGTGCCATGCGCGCAAGCTCAAATCCGAGTTCAGAAAATGTAGCGGTTGCCATGTCACGCTGTATTGCTCAAAGGCCGGTCATAGCAACAACGTCCATCTAATGAGTGACAATTCTGACTCTTTTCATCTTGCAGGAATGCCAAGTCACCGGTTGGAAAACTAGACACAAAAGAGAGTGCAAGTCTCGAAACGAGGAGCGGACTTGTGAGCGGATGACGTTCTTGCTGTACCTGGGCTTCGTCTGACATGCGTGTTTGCAGCGACCGATCGCAATGCGCTCAAGAAGCAAGACCGCATCTTCCTTCAGCATTTGGCGACGCACGAGGCCGTTAAGAACTTGGGCGAGTTGCGCCGCATTGCAAAGCTCAAGTTCCCGTCGGAACAACTGTCGCGCTTAGGCATTCAGATCGACTTCTCTCACTATCCTACGACTTACGATGTCTTCCGCCTCGACACATACGAGATGAAGACATCTGGCGACGCACGTGTGGTCGGTAAAGCTATCGACGGGCAAGGGCGTCATACGCTCGTTCAAACCATCATCAGCTCTGGGCGGACCAATTCGCTCTCGACTGTGCTCAGCGCCGGATCTATCTGGGACACGGGGGATACCGCCCTTGCAGTCATGCCATGGACGCCGCCCGCAGGTGAAGGCGACGGCGCCGTGACTCTGTATGGAGAGGAGTCTTCTGAAGTTGACTAGAAGGAAGACCTAGTTGGACCATGCCAAGGTCAGCTGAATCAGCGTCTCTTACCGAATGGATGATTTCTAATGCGCACCGCAGCTCCCCTCAATCTGATACACGTGGACATACAGTTTTCGAAATACGGAGGAACGTTTTGCTCTTGTATACTATGGACATGCAGATCACATAGGCGCAAACTTACTTCTTCTGGGAGGATGCAGCGTCACCAGCCCTCAAAGGCATCTGGAGGTTCTGTCGAATGTTAGTACTACAACACGAGACGGTGTGCTTTGCCCCGCATGTCAACGCCTTTACCATGCATGCGCTATCTTCTTCGACACGGCGCACTCTTGCAGCTCCATTTGTGACTGCCTTTGCCTCAACTGGATGCACCGTGAGTGAGCCTGTAGGAATTTCGAAGGCCTACAGAGCGCACGTCGACGCCTGAATGTCATCTGGGCGCGATCTATACAAAACAACCACTCTTTGATATCTCTATCCTTCCAGCTGACTTCACGTATCAGCGGACAGCCCTCCTGGGAGTCGTCCCGGACGCGGTATAAAGCCTTGTATCTGCGCTGAAGGGAAAGACGGACTCGCTCTCAATCAGTCCCCGCGGCTACCACCACCTCAGTCAATCCTCATTCAACCAATGTCTTCTCAGAATAACGGTACATTTCACATCTCACGCTGCCCCAATACGCTGACTGACCAGAGCATCCCCGTAGCTGACTCCGGCGCCAAGCACCAGATGACGAAAGATGCCGCGGCTCGCATCCAAGCCGCTCAGGTTTGCTCTGCTTGAACGCGTGTACCTATGACACCTTTACTGACATACCCCGTAGGAAAAGCAAGGCAACGATATGACAAGCTTCCCTGCGCGCGTGCAGGCGGCTGCCGATCGTAACGCCAATAACGACGCTAACAACCAGCAGAGCGCGAAGAAGTAGCCTAAGCTGTCGCACCTGTGTCCTCTTCTCGGTCTCGTCTGTCTCAAGTGCCATTTTCTTACGCAGTTGCACTAGCACCGCTACCGTTTGATGTAACCATGTATACAAGTCGAACTTTTGCGATATCGAGCGGATCCAGCATAGTCAGACAGGAGTCGCTCGCATGTATCATACAGTTCTGTCGCATTTCGAACAACGGTCGTGGTGACATTAGAGTGTATCTGCCAACGCCGATTTTCTGCTCGAGTGGAGCGATTCCATTGAAATGGCGCTCGCTCATTGGCTTGGGGCGGTTGTTCCTAGTGCAAGAGCGAGTGGCAGATACACGCTATTATGACTGGCTCGCATGGCGGAAGAATCATCGAAAAAGTTTAGTCAGGACGACATTTAGAATTTCCCACTAGCCGACTTGAACGACTGACCTCGTCATTACTAGTGACGCGCTCTACCACTGAGCTAAGCGGGAGTTACTTGACCTTTAGCTTAAACATATTGTACGACTTCCATCCGGAAATGGTGTACCTCGGTGTCGAGCAGAAGGAGTATGATGATGGTGGTGGCTGCTGGAAGCAGGGTGAAGGTACGCGAAGAGCGCTGCGCGCGCAGCGCGCGCTACATCGGGCTGACCTCGGGGATCGTGGCTGCGACCGAAGCGAGCCTCTCTCATGGCGTTCACCTTCCCCTTCGCACCCTTGGACTCATCCGTCTCGATTACTTACAGACTGCGCACCTACGATGACTCGGTTGGACTAGAATACGGTAGAACATCGTAGATACCTAGCTGGGTCGTATATAAGGACTGAGCCTTGGACTCTTTTCGGACGTCTACCTTTTAACTATTGTTCTAAGCCTAGATCTATTTGAGTAATATAATACAGCCCCTGAATAGGTGCTTAAGGCAAACTTCTAGACCGACCCCTGAAATCCCTACACATATATAGTCTGGGCTTGAGCCCATCTGCACCACCGAATATACGCTATCGCCTTGTGACGGCCGTGCCTAGTGACAGATACTCACTGCAAAGAATCGAGATAGCCGCTCGCTGACCTGTCGCCAGGTCCGAAGGATCATTGCAGTCATGCTCGTCGCAGGAAAATGGATGAACAATTGAAAGCAACGATAGTGACTATACTGGACAGAACGAATGTAGAGATGGTAAACAACAGAGCCAGAAAATGAGACATATCCATAACGAATCCAATACCAGCTATAACGTACTCAAACCCCGAGAAATAACGAACTCCGCTACTACCACCGCCTCTTCAGCTTCTTCAGCGCCATCCTCGCCCTCACATACGTCTCATCCTCATCACTACTATCCCTCCACCTATCCTCCTCCCTCCCCTTCCCCCCCTTGCCCCCACTCCCACCCTTAACCATCTCCTCACTACTCCGCTCCTCGCTATCCTCTCCATCGTCCTCCCCACCGTCCCTTGGCTTCGACCAATAAGCGTCCAAATCGTCCTCATCGAGCGCAGGCGGCGTAGGACTAAACGTCGGCTTCAAGCTCATGCGCACGCTCTTCCTCCGCACGGGTCGGCCGTCGGTATCGAGCACAGGCCGCCCCTCGGAGTCGAGCTGGAGTGTGCCGCTCGAGCTGGCCGTCGCGCTGCTCACGTCTGATCCGCCGTGCATCATTTCCGTAGTACCGGGCACAGCGAGATGCGCGATCGAGTCGTCCTGCTCTTGAGCCTTCTCTTTGCTCTTCTCATTTGACGCAGAGGGGGAGGCAGAGGAGGCGGACTGGACCTCGCGCACCAACGTCGACGTACTCCCATTGACAGGCGTAGGCGCAACAATAATCGGTTCCTTCGGCGGTGGCGGCGGCACAGCATCCAGCGTCCCCGTCGAGCTCCCTCCATCTCCCTCGTGTCCGTCAACTGTCCCCTCGCCCTCCGACGCGCTCTCAAAGCTTTCCCTCCCCGTCTCGTACGAGCTTATACTCGAGACCTCACTATCGGCCATCGATCGCCGTCGCGTGGGATCGTACGGACTGGGCGCTGCGAGCCGAGGCTCCGGTTTGGGTGAGTTCGTTGCGGGCGGGTGCGAGGGGATAACGGGAGGCGCAGATGCGACGACAGGCGGCGGTGTAGGCGGCAACACGATCGGGCCCGGAGCGCTCGGCACGAATAGAGCCACTGGCGCGGGCGCGGGTGCAGGTGGCGGTGTCGACGTACTCGCAGCAGCCGGCATAGGCGACGGTGACCTGGTCCTTAACGCGCTCTTGAGCGGTATAGCACTGGCGATGGCTCTATGCGCGGGCGTATGTATCGCAGCGAGATGCGCCGGCATCAGCCCATCGCTAGTCTTGGTTCCGCTACCTGAGGCGTGTCCGTTCGGTTGTTGATGAGGATGAGGATGAGAAGCGGAGGTCGAGGTAGAAGCCGTGTGTCGAGACTTCGCAGGTTCGGACGTCGAAGCGCGCATAGGCGGCGAATGATCAATCGAGTACGCGCTCGCACTGGGAAGGAACATCCCGTCTCCACTCCCACTTCCACTCTTTGTCGTCGGCGAAGAAGTGTACGCCGCTGCGCTTGGGAGGAACATCTCCGACGTCGTCGCCACGGGCTTGCTCGCGGGGTCCGTATGCAGCTTCGGTGCAGTGGGCAGATACAATGCCGACCCGTTCTGCGGTTTGGGTGCTGTAGGCAGGTACAGTGATGCACCAGCCGCGACGCCCGTAGCAGCGCCGACCGTCTGCGCTTTGACGGGCGTCGGCCTCGTCGGTCCAGAACTTGACTTCACCGAAGGCGCCGCCGCCGCCGCTGCCGGTTTGGGCGCACTCGGCAAGATGACCTCCGCCCTATCGCTCGCCTTCGGCAAGAACATCCCCCCATTCTGCGCCGCACTCAAACTAGCCCTCCGTTCCCTAGCCGCGCCCTCAACAATAGCCATCAAACTCACCCCGCGCCCCGCATCCGTCGAGTGATGTGCGTTCTGCGCTCGCGATGTAGATGCTGACGGGCCGGCTGAGGGGAAAGGAGTAGGCGCGGACCCGCTGGACCATGTTGCCGGCCCCGAAGCTCGACGCGCGCCTTTGGTGCTCGTAGCGACCGAGCTCTCGCGCGATAGACTCGCGCCTGCGCCTGCGGATTTAGACGCCGGCATCGATCCCCTCGCCAAATTGCCCCTCGACACCGGCCTTGCGAGCGTCCCGTTCCCGCCCGTAGCCCTCGACGCCGTCGACGCGCTCCTTACAACCGTCACATTCACATCTCCATGCCCATCTGCCATTCTCCTCGAATCGGGCGTGACGGACGCAGAGCGCACTGTGCTCGCGCGACTCGGTCCGGGCGACGGGGCGGCACCGCGGCCTTTGACGCTGCCCTTCTTCGCTCGCGCGCCGACGCCCGCGACTCCGCCGTCGCTCATCCATCCCGCTGCACCCGGGTCCTCGCCGACGAGCGTATTCCTCGACCTCCGTTTCTTCAACTTCGGTTTCGGCTCTGGACGATGTTGCGCAGAACCGGGACCGCCCAAGGCAGGATGAGCAGCTCCAAGCCCAGGCCGCGGGTTAACTTTCGCAGGCGCACCACCCGCGTATGAATCCTCGCTCGCGCGTCTGAACCCGAACCGCGGTCGATGTGGCGCAGGCTGCGTAGACGTGCTGGGCTCCGGCTCCGAATCACTATCATCTCCCCTCCCCCTCCCACCTCTCCTCAGATTCTCAGACGTCCGCGTCTTCCACTTCCCGTCTTTCTCTTTCGCGCCGTACGGCGAAAGACCGGCGTTCGAGCTCCCGCGGAACAACCGTCCAAAGAGCGACGACTTGCGCCCTCTTTCCCGTTCGCGCTCTTCCATGACGACGGGCATACTCTGCGATACCGAGACCGTAGAGCCCGAGTTCACGCGGTTGTGCTGCGGTCGGAATCCGAAGCGTTTGGTGCGCTGCGGGCTCTCGTCGCGCGGTGCGTCGGGCGCGATGGTGACGGTGGGCTTCTTGGCCGGGTCGCGCTCGAACGGCTTGTTCTCGACTAGTTGGACGTCGCGCTCGTCGGTTTCTTCGTCTGAGGGCTCGGAGTCGTGGAGGTCTTGCGAGTTCTCTTCTGTGATGCGGCGTTCCATGGGTGGATGGGCGAATTCGGAGATTTGGTGCGCGGGTGGGATGTGGAGTTGTGGGGAAGGTGAGGTTGGGCGAGAACTGTAGGATGAGCGTCAGTACTGGTATGAAGGGGAGGCATGAGGTGCTTACGAGGTGTTCTCCCCGGTTGGAGAGAATATCTGCGATGCCGATTGAGATGGGCCGACTGAGGATAGGTCTGAACCTGCCTGCCCGTTCGGTTGCGGAAGAGGCTTCTCCGGTGCTACAACTCGTTAAATACATATGACTACGCTGAAGATGAACGCAACTCACACTTGTCCTTCTCGAGCTCCTCCAATGCTCTCAAGCCCTCCTTGCCCATCTCCCCCCACACCCATCCACACTCCACCATAGCCTTACACCTCCTCTGCAACCCCTCCCTGACCGCACTGACCCGCAACCTATCCAGCGCAGCCTCCTTGGACGCCAGCGTCGTCTCGCATGCTTGCAACTCGGCCTGAGCAGCGCTCAGCTTCGTGTTGGCCGAGATGAGACTGGGAGAGTGCGAGCCGAGTGATGAAGATGATGCTGATGGTTCTTGCGGGAACGCCGGGGAGATGGTCGCTATGAACGAGTCGCGCGTAGGCTTTTGGGACTTGGAGATCTTGATGAGACGCGTTACTCTGGTGTATAATGTAGTCAGTGCACATATTCAACGCGCGGTAGACCAGGCTTGGCAAGCGAACAGCCTGATACGCAAGAGAAGCGTAGACCAGGCACTAGTGCACCCCGCGGCACCGATGAGATGAGAAGCTAGATCGGCTCTGACAGACGTCATGTCCGCCTGGCATCGAAGTCGGGCAAGTGGCGGATCGCGTATCTCAGCAGAGAAACGTAAAGCGCGCGACGGCGCCCGAGGGCGCAACGGTCGGCACCCACCCGGCGGCGAGGCGGCACCGCGCCGAAGACAAGCGCCCGTGCAGCTCACAGGCTAGCACCAAGTACCGCCGCGTAGCCGCAGACATTGCAGTCAAAGGTGCACAAGGATGCAAGCACGAAGACAGGGGTATAGACCAGACCAAAATATACTCACAGAATATCCCGATCCCGAACGACCCTCCCAACATCCTCCTCCGCCTCCCGAATCTCCTCCAGCTTCATCCTCCACTCGTCCACCGCACCCGCATACCGCCTCAGCGCCTCGTCCGCGCCCGCCAGACTGCCCGCTACGCCCATAATACCCCGCGCCGTGCCGGGCGGCGCCGCACTGGCGTACGCAGCCAGCGCGCTCAGTGCCGACTGCGCATAGACGTCGACGAGCTGGAGCAGGTGTTTGTGGTACGTTTGTTCGTGGGAGGATAGACTGGACAGGAGGCGCGAGTCGGGCGCGCGGTGCACCATGCTCGTTGGTGGAGGTTCGTGGTCAGGTCGGGGCGCCTCGAGATGTCAGACCAGAATTAAAAGTCAACGTCGACTTTCGAATTCGGGCTAGGCCCACTCCGTAATGAAATGTACGCGTAGAGTGTGGTGTGGTGCGAGCAGAAATGGGTTAGGCGGTATGGGCCTGTGCAGGCCTGTACGGCAGGTGGGGCTCGAAGTCGATGACGACGTCGTCGGAAAGAACTAATTCTCGGATCCGCGCGCCGCGAAGCTGTCATGGCGCATGATAGCTTTGATTCGATCATGGCATGTGCTATCAGCTCGGAGTTTACGAGGCCTTGACGCCGTCATCGGCGGGGAAGTACAGGTTTTCCCCATCACTTGGAAGACGCCCACCACTTGGAAGGATGGCGATGCTTGCCCAATACCAGATCAAACCTCATCGTACCTGTTGCGTATGGCGTGTATATGCCATATGGTACGCTTGGTGCTGCCACAGACCATGTAACGCGTTAAAACGTACTGTATCCGCAGTTTAGTCGTGGGAATGGCCCAATCACAAGGGAATCGGCCCGCACAGGGGCCGATACCGACTTTCAAGGCTTCAGCTTGGGTATAGATATCCTGAGTGCCTTCGAGAACCCTCATGTAAATTATAGCGGCCCCAGCTCCAGCGGGCCTCACTACATTTATGACGCAGACCTGTCCTCCCTGCGAACATGTGATCACGTGACCACGTCGTCGACCACGTCGTCGACGTCGTCGTCAACAACGGCCAGCTCCCGAACTACGAGAAGCTGAGGTCCGAGGCCTGTCGTGGTGTGTCTTGAAGTACTATGGATGCTATCTGTAGCGAGGGCACAAGTTTGAGCGGCTGCTTCTCCGCAAATTGCAGCCCTTCCAAGTGGTGGTTCTTGACCCACACACCCCTACTGCGTATCTGAACAGCCAGCCCATATCGATACGAGATATCGATTGTGAGTCCTCCAGCAGTCTATAAGGTTACCTCCAGCACGTTAAATTATGGCAATCGGTTCAGCAGGTGCGTAGATATCGCCATCTCTTGTGCCCTTCCAAGTGATGGGGAAAACCTGTACTGCGGAAATGTGGAATAGCATCTATATTCCATACACAGCGTAAGATAGGTACCTATAACAGTCTACCTAGCTATGATACGATGAGTTAGGGGATCTTGCCAGGTAGAGACACGTTGAACGACGACTGGCGCTCCCACTCTATACATACCGCTCAAAAGTAGAAGGCCATGGCGCTAGCCCAGCTATCCTGTGCGAACTTGAGCTCATTGTGAGGAATACACCGACATGTGAAGACTCACATTGGAATAGAGAACACGGTCCGGGAACATCATGAAGTCGGTCTTAGGGCCGATGCCATGCGTACTCTCGAGGCGCGTGGAGAAGTATGGAAGTTCGGACTTGATACCGTCGAAGAATGGCAGCCATGACCCATCAGGACGCCTTGGTATCGCTACCTCTGACGGTTGAGTGACCAGCACACCGGTGGCCATATGCGTCCTCTGAGCTTCGGGGTTGAAGTTGACGATCTCGAGGCAGAGGCGTTCCTGTTCGTCTTTGTACTTGAGCAGTGCGGCCCAGCCACAAACCCAGCTGAAGCAGAATCAGCACATACTCAGTCGACATGCACGGCAGCTAGACAGGAAGAACTCACATGCGCTCGACCGAGCCTCGAATCTCCAGCACGCGCGAACAGCGCGACAGCCACTGCTCGTAGGGGAGGGTCTGCCCGTTATGACGCTCTAGTAACCCCAGTAACGCATCGTTACGAAAGATGTAGACCAGGCTGTACTTGAAATGCCAGCTGGACTCCCTCACCACGACGATACGGTTCCGCACATTGCCCGAGAGCGCCCCAGGAAAGACATCCTCGCTCCACGATCCGGAATCGGGGGAGAATATTGCACGGCACATCATCGGCGTCTCGTTGTTCCTCCGCACGTTCCACATCCAGCGAGGCAGCTCGAGCGCGATGCTCCGGTAGAGAGGTTCCCGACTCCTGCTGTCGATCCGGTAGATCCATAGACCATCGTGCTGTGCTGCTTCGCAGTGCATGTACCCGTGACTGTTCGTGATCATGAAGGTGTCGGGCGCAAGCCAAGTGAAGCCCTCAACTTCGTGCGGATGACCCAACCCGGGAGGGTGCCACCGAGCGTGAACAGCACAGGCATCGGTCAAGAGTTCATGACCGTCGATCCTCTACAAGTGCCCAATGGAATCTGTATGAGCGCAACTTCTAGAGCCAACGCACACGTGCGGTGCTTACCGCGACAGGCTTCCCAGTTTGCCAGTTGAAGATCGCGACGCGGTTATTGCCCGTGTTCTGAGTTCGCAACGCGTACAACTTCCCGCAGACCTCTATATCCACCATGATATAGTTGCCATGTTCATCGACCCAATTGTCGCTCTCCTCCCATCTCATCAATATGGCCGCCTCGCGCGCCTTCGGATGCGCTTTGGAGTACCCGGCAGCGAAAGGATCAGACAGGCGAACAGGGTATACCGTCACGCCCTCTCCCGGATCCGGGTCACTGATCTCGTTATAGTGCACGAGAAGGAGAAGGTCCTGCGCTGAGTCGAACGCTACGGCGTTGATCGGTAAACCGGGCCTTGTCGAAGCAGTGAGCCACCTGATGACGCCGTCCATATCGACGGGCTTGCCGCAGTGCTTCTGGACTGCAGAGATGTGGTAGAGTATGTCTTTGCTGGTCGGTCCTTCTAGCATGAATTTCCAAGAACGACCCGGGATAGGATCGCGAGGGTATCGACGACGAGAAGGGGGGACAGCGACGGACATGAGTTCGGTGTGGGGGCTGGTCTGGCAAAAGAGGTGGAGTCGATAGAGGTATGATTAAACCGTTCGAGTATATCGGCTTGCCATGATATACTCGTGAGTATCAAAGCCCAGCTAGGTGGTCACAACCGTACCTTGAGGTAGCTGGAGGCCCATGGACAGAGCGTTTCCATCGCAAGGAAGCCCTGAGAACCTAAAGCTGTATGGCAATAAAACAACACCCTTTGTTCATGTTCTCGTCCAGATCAATGCGTCGCGAGGTCAAGGTCGCTCGCTGACATGAAGAGGCGAACTGAGTCCTCCCATCTCTCATCCGCGCCCAGTGTCCTCCGTTCGGAGTCCATACATGGTGCGCGGAGTCGCCACGATTGTTGCAGACGAGGGGGGGATCCTTGCGCATTGCGACACATTGATTTTCGCGATGCACTGTAAAGTGCGCATGTGGACAAAGCATGGGAAAGGGAAATCTATGTTCAAAGGTGGTGGTCAAATTCGAAGGAGTGGGTCAATGCCAGGTCACGCGTCGCGTCTTGTACCGGTCGCGGCATCTGCCGCCGATGAGCGCTCGATAGCTTACCCCTCAGCCCTCAAGAACTCGTCTGCGCACCATCATGGTTGGTTTTGTGCGAGATGCAGCAGAATGCCTCTATGCTTCACGTTTCGCTGTACGAGTACGAGAAGGCGGATGGATCCCCAACCCTCAACCTACAGTACTCAAGCATACTACTATCACGCCAGAATACGCGATGGGTGGTGGTATGATCGGATGCTCCATGCAAGACAACAGTTTTACATTGTGATGAAGTGTCCGGTATGTAGTACATATACGTGGCTCCGGCTCATTCGCGAGGAGGCACGCGTCGAAGCGAGTCCGTTTCAGATTGTGTAGATCATTGCCTAGCCTGAGTTTCGTTCGCCCGGTCGAACCGGTGCTCAGAAATTGACGGGGAACGCGATCACATGAGCTAGAAAGACGCGTGGATTTGTCAATGGAGCTGTCGTAAGCCGTGAGCAAGATGTGTCACAAGCCGCGGCGCGCGCAAAGTCGCGCATCGGTCCCAACTTGCTTGTCTACCGTCACCATCTTCCCGATAGGTTCGCACTTCACCTTCAGCAACCCGTCGGGAAGGACTCTCGTCTCCAAAACCCTAGCCGACTGCCTACCAGAACTTGCTGGTGCACGGGCACAAAAGGTCGGTGGGAATGGAAGAGGACTCGGAGAGGGTACTATAGCTGCGGATTTCAGTCTCTCTGTGAGTACCCTTGCTTGAAAAGCATTCACTCTTACTCACCTTCGCGTGTGGGCACAGATACTATGTTTCATGACACTGGACTTGGAGTGGCAGGTGGCTGCACTCTAGCCCCTTGATTCTCCGCAAATGGAGATGGATTCACTGTATTCCCTTGGAAACCAATTCAAGACTCGATTGCCTTGCGATGTGCGCTTACGGGGCTCACTATCGGTAAAGATACTCATCTCCGCTTCGTGTGGGGAGTAAAATACGGAGGGCTCGTTGGATGCAATTTGATACATAGTTTGTACATCATCTCGAGGACCTGCGGTGTCCTTATGTCTTCATGATTCATCTGGGGTGGTACCAAAGGGAATACCACTTCCATCACTCATACTGAATGTAGTGCGAGATGTCGACGTCGCAGATAAAGATGCCAAAAGCCACGAATCGGCCTCGGACCGGACACGCCGCGTTCGCGCGCGCGAGCCCTCGTCAGGCAGATGACGGTCTATCGTAATCTCAATTATGTTTCTGCGTAATCACGCTCGACATTTCGCAGCACTCGCGGGGCTTTTCCTGAGCACCGGTAAGGGTGGCGCGTCGAGTTGCAGGCTTTAATCAGGTGATCGTCCTCCCCCCACCAACAAGATCACCGATAAAGCCTGCAAGGGAGGCTAATCATTGCCATCCAGAACTTGTTGATGCGCCCATGCCAACCCGTGGCTGACCCTGATACTGCGCACCCGCTTGAGCCAGATGTGCCTGCACAGGTATGTACCCCGCCTTCCTCCAGCTACCCGTCTGGAATAACGATTGGTTAGGCTAATGCGCGAAGAAAGAGGTGAGCGTAAGCTACTCACCCGGGTGTAAGAGACGCGGTCATGCCCGAGTACGAGCTTGATGTCCCATTCGATAGGAGCAGCGATGGGGATCAACCGATACGGCAGATTAGTCCACAGCCAGCCGTGCTCGAATATGCTGTCCGGACCATCCGCGACGGTAGTACCACTCCTGACCACAGTACCGGGCACCAAGCGTGGATCGAGGCTCGCATCGTCGAAGTCGGCCACAGTGACCTGCACGCTCTGTTCATATTCATCCTTCTGCGCTATCATCACCTTGGACCCGCATATCTGTCTGTGGGGATGTCAGTTGTGCACTGAGAAGGGCAGATGAGGGTAAGCTTGTGACTTTGAAGTACGCACATATCAGAAGCCAGAGACACGGTTTTGTTAGGCCAGCTGAAGGCGCGAGCGATGCATGGAAACGATGCCCCGTTGGTAAACTCATTCCAGCTCAGGGTGTCCCTGTTCCGGTCTCGCAAGAGCGATACCATGTAATCGTTGCGAAGCACGTAGAAGACATTGCACCCAGGGCGTTGGGAGACATCCTCTCTGACGACGGTGACACGATCGTATGCATTGCGAGTGAGCGCTCCAGGGTATATGTCCTCGCTCCACGACCCAGTCACGATTTCCATCGACTTATCGCCACCGACGGAGACACGATAGGTCTCTTTCCAGCGGGGCACTTCCAGGACGAGACTGCGAGAGAACGGTTGTTGAGAGTGGCCGGAGAGCTCGTAGAGGTACAGTCCGTCGTATTTCGCGTCGTTTTCATCTTGCGAGATGCAGCCTATCATGATGACATTCGGTGAGATCCAGGCAAAGTGGTTCACGTCGAGCGGGTGCTCGACGAGATGCGAGGCCTTGGCGTCGGTGTGTATCCATGAACCGTCGATCCTCTGATATCGCACTTTCATTAGCAAGCGGCAAGACGGTCTGTTTGTATAGACGAGTACGCACCGCGACTCTGTGACCCGTCACCCAGTTAAATATAACAACGCGTTGATTGTAGGCATAGCGGACGAAGAGCGCAAAGTGAAGACCGCAGAGGAAGATCTCGACCGCCAGACTCTCACCCTTGCCGTCCGCGGAGTCCTTCTCGCCCCACTTCATGTTGATTGCGGCCTTACGCGCACGCCGGTGCGCATTGCTAAGCCCATAAGAGTTAGGTATGACTGGATTCGACAGTTGAACGGGGTAGACAGTAACGCCCTGAGCACCATGCTCGTGCGGTTGGTCGTAGTGCACCAGTAGCAGCAGATCCTGAGCGGAGTCGACGTCAAGGTTCTTGATGGCGATTGAGTCGCGGTAGTGGTGTGCCTTGAGGAGCCAGGAGAGGTCTAGAGGCTTCCCGTGAGCCGCCTGGCGATCAAGGATGGGGCCAATCCCTTCTTCACTTTCGAAGAACTTAAAGCGGAAGGAGCGCTGGGGTGCACTGAGTTGAGGGTTTGGAACTGAGTGGCTGTGATGACTGGAGTGAGGGTGGCTACGAGACATGACGACGTGTTGAGTGACAGGGCTGATGAACGGACGGTGGTTGCTGGATTTTCGAATCTAACGAGCGTTCATCCTTCCTAAGTACCACCTTCAGCGTTGACAAGGAGTCATGGCGGGCAGAGCGTGTGGTTACAGCCCCCCACTTGTGGGTGGTCGCAGGGGAATAGGTCCAAGTATCGAGAACTACAAGGACAAAGCGTTGCCGTCGCACGAAAGCCTCGCGTTTCTTATGAGCGCTGAGAAGCTTCCTGCAGTCGCTGCATAGCATCTTTTGTTTGGAAGGACGAAGTGGCTGTGCGAAACCGTTCATGAGAAAGTTGGATCACGGTCTCTTGTTCGTCGCGTGAAGCACCTGCACACGTTCGTCTTCGAATACAGCACGAGGCTGCAGGAAGCTGGTCTTCATCCGAGCCAGTCAGCCCTACAAGCATGTCGCTCGAAGGAGGTGACGTCTTCGAGGCTTGTAACGGGATTTTGCGCTGAGCCTGGATAGTTTCCTTCGTCACTTCCACAATGTAGCCTCCTCAGGGCGTATGTGCTCGAATATAAACCAGCACAAGTGCAAGGTCACAGAGACTGTGCTACGGTGAATAAACAGGTAGATTGTCGGTACACCGAAGAGAAGAGTTATTGGACATGGTGGACGGAACGAAGGTACGCTGGACGCAAACGCGCGGCGATGCTGCGGCGGCCTTTGCCGATCGCAGCCTGAGTGACCAAACCTGAAACATCCATCAGCCAATCACGTATCACTCGTGCACAAGTACTGCTCAGTGAATTGTGTTCTGTAATCAGGAAGTTGTAATGAACTAGATACAACGAGCGGACGATGGTGATCAACTATACAGTACAATAGGTCCTTAAGTACTGTACTGTGACGTCGCCTTCCAGTGTCCCGGCCACCTGCGAGTCCCATCGCAGTTACTGATCAAGTACCGCTCCTGTCGAATACGCTACTGGAGGAAGCTCGACCTGCGCTGGCAGGACGACGGCATTTGTCCACCAGTTATCACTGTTCGACTAGTTGATTGAGCGAGTATCAGCATGGATGGTTGAGATAAAGCCTAGGGTACTAGGTCACTCACTCGCGTGTACAAGACCCCATCAGCACGCAGGAACAGCTTTCCATTGCTGCCGATTGGCCCATAGATTGGGATCCTACGATACGGAAGAGCGCTCCAGACTGAATCATTCTCGAACATAGCGACATTGGTCGCACTGCCCTGCATCCTAACATGACCAGTTAGACGCGGGTCAAGACCTGCTTGGTCGAAGTCCAGAACTGTGACATTTCTGGTCTGCTGGGCGTGCTTTGATTGGGTCATCATGACCTGCGGTCCAAAAACCTGACTACGGGACAGTTAGCAAAGTTGGCAGCGGGAAGCATGAGATTGCAGACGCACATTTCCAAATCTACTGAAGCGTTCATTCTGATCGATCCCTCGGCGAAAGCCCGCGCACACGTCCAACCCCATTGTTCCCAAGGTAGTTGCTGTCGATTATGCTGTGCAAGGGTCTGAAGCAGAAGATCGTTGCGAAGGACGTAGAAGATATGGTATACGTGTTCAGGCTTGTTTCCCATACACTCGTCATGCACGACGGTGACGCGCCGGAACACGTTGCCAGAGAGGGCGCCGGGATAGATATCCTCGTTCCACGAGCCGGTCTGGATGGTGAGTTCCTTGTACACTGCCTGATCGCCGAGTTTAGATTTCCAGCGTGGAAGTTCGAGCATGACGCTGCGCGAAAGGGGCTCTCCCTTGTCACCACTCAGTTCGTAGATGTATAGGCAATCCACTGCATCTTCGCAAGTCTGTTGTTGGATGCTACCAAGCATGAAGACTCGAGGTGTGATCCATGTGAACTGATGCAGACAGAGTGGAAAATCTTCGACAAGCATCTTTGAGGTCGCGTCAGAATAGCGAGCGTCGGTGTCGACCGCCTGTTCATCGTTGTTAGCTGGTGGTGCTAATGGCACAAGGGTGGACCTACAGCGACTTCCTTGCCGGTTTTCCAATTATAGATCAACACGCGTGGGCTTTCGGTATAGAGAACGAAGAGCGCGAAGTGATCACCGCACAAGTGCAGCTCTACTTCCAACGAGGGCTGTCCCTCGGCAGGGCGGTCGCCATCCCATTCCGCAAAGATGCTGGCTTTGCGTGCAAGATGATGTGTCTGAGATACCCCATGTGCAGTTGTTGCGCTTCGCGATAGCTGGACAGGATAGACCGTGATACCCCTCGCTTCAGGGTGATCAGTCGGCTGTTCATACTGCATAAGCAATAAAAGGTCCTGAGCCGAGTCGACTTCAAGGGTGTCGATCGTGATAGTATCGTGATGGCGCCTGGCGTCGAGCAGCCAGGCAAGATCGATGGGCTTTCCGCATGCGGTCTGACGGTCCAGAATACTCTGGACACCGCCTGTATAGCTCTTGCTGAATCGAAATGAGCGAGGGGATGCCTGAGGCAGCGTCTTTGCCGAAGATAGGTTCCAGCGCATTGGCGGTAGAAAGGTCGGTGGTCGAGAGGGCGAGATAGAAGAGCGGTTGGGAGAATGGCAGGTCGACTGGCTGAGCCCACGACCTTTTGAAGCCTACGCAAACAATCGACTATCGCATGAGCGTCGTCCTGTAGGGCTCATCACAAAGGAGCGATACGACCGATCCGAGCGATGTTGAGCAGGTCTGTGCACGAACAAAGCTACCGTGTGTTCGAAGATTGTGTCGTAGGAGAATGGTATCTTTTGTTCGAAGAAGGTAGTCAACGGATGCGGTTCTTTGCATTGACTCGTGGACTGACCTGGGAAAGCGTTACACGAGCCGTTGCGTCCGCAGGCACCGCCACTCGCAACGGGCAGGGTTCTCGGTGGTGGAAGGGCGAAGAAAGACCATGCTCTCTGCGGCAGTACAGAGCCCTCCCAGAGCACAAAGGCCGCAGCTACCCATGGGCATCCATGAATTTTCGGCTTTTGCGCTTGTCCGTCTTCGGGCATGACGGGTTGTCCAACAAGGCAGAGCAAGAACCATCCTCTTCCACTTTAGGATGCGCGTGCGCGAGAAGGGCCCATAAGCATGGCACCACGTCCGGTGTATGCACGAAACTAGTCTTGTGACAGGCTCTATTATTGTATCGGGTAGCATGAGCAAGGTAGATATATAGCTGGTCCAAGGTGGTGGTTGAGATCTGAGAACGGAGTGGTCAATGTCGCGTCTGGCGCGCCAACTTGGTCACACCCTCGCCAGTTCCGCCCGCCTCACGTGCACGCCCGCCCCGGAAGTTGGTGCAGTCGACTCTTCCTCGCCGGTGGACTCCGTGACTTCCCCGCCGCTAGCTTTGCCTGACATCTCGCCGGACTTACCGGCAGCGGGCTCAACGCTAACTCCGGCCTCTCCTTCACGCGATCCAGGCTCAGAAGAAGAATTATGCCACGGGCGCCTTCACCTTCAGCGGCAGGACCCTCTGCCTCAGGTCATGCGCTCCGCCAGTGCGCCACGGCTAGACGTGATGTGACAAGTGCACGGTGATATTTACGAGAGACGGTGCTCTCTGATCGAGGTGATGATCGAGAAGAAGTCGGCCGACGTCGCGTCGCGCCTCAAAGCATTCGAGGCATCTGCCGGTAAACGTCGACAGGCAAACGTTCGTACTGGCAGAGTTGACTATCAGATGTTCGAGGTAGTACACGTAGGTAGTACAAGTGCTGCTCGGCGAACTGATGATGCAATATTACATGGGTCTCAAAGAGTGCGGGTATCGTGGATGCCCAACATATAGTAGCCTCCAAAGTTAGATGCGTGCATAAATGCATGTAGGCGGCTGGTCAATCGCCACCCAGCACACGTCTGGGCTCAGATAGACTGAGGGAGTCCCCATTTCCCAACCTTGATGAGTTTCAGTCAGAGTCATGAATGGCTCAGATGAACGTATTAGCGCACCAGAGACGAATAAACGCAGCCAGTACGAAGGAGGAATTGGGTTGCAGTTCCGGGATGGGTGTAGGTCAAGGTGCGATACACCATTGTAGTATATATCTGACCTTGTTCGAATATATCGACCTTCGGCGTGATTGGGGCCTGGTCCAGTAGAAGGTCGCCAGGTCCGGGGTGGTCGAGGGGATTGAAGTGATTTGATTCGATCCGCGTGATATTGCGAGCGTCGTCCCGCAATACAGTAAGCACCATCATACCGCACACCTGTCTGAAAGACTTCGTGAGTACAGCCAGAACATCACAGAGGGAGATGAGACGTACATGTCGCTGAGATTCGAAGGATTCTCGAAGACGGCTGCACCGATTGTAGGGCCCCAATATTCCCAGCGCAATTCCTGTCCGTCGTAAGATTGCAGGAGGAAGTTCACAAGCAGGTCGTTCCGGAGCACGTAGCGGATATTGTAGATGGGCTTCTCATCGTACGCGTAGTCTTCCATCAAGACGGTCACGCGCTGTGTTGCATTGAAAGATAATGACCCGGGATATACGTCCTCGTTCCAAGAGCTGGTCACGAACTTGAGGAGTTTGCGACACGCTTCATGACGCCAGCTTGACCTCCAGCGAGGCAGCTCTAAAGCAACGCTCCGAGAAATTGTCCCTGGTTCTTCCCCGGATGCTCGACCTTCGCCAGAAAGCTGATAGAGATACAGGGCGTCCTCAAAGCTAGGGAACTTCGGGTCACGGTCCGCTTTATCCAGATGAGCCTCGGTTGAAAGAATTGCGAACGCATCAGGAGAGAACCAGGCAAATTGTGTAACGTCGCCTGGATGAAGGGTCTCCAAGAATCGAGTGTCGCTGCGGTCTCGGTCACTGTCGATGGTCTGGAGATACAGGGTTCAGCATATAGAAGCCAGGTATCGGAGCAAAAGCACGCACCGCGATCATCTCACCTGTCTTCCAGCTATAAATAACCACTCGCTGGCTAACTGTGTAACGGAAGAATAGCGAGAAATAGTCCCCGCAAAGCTTCATCTCGATCTCCATCGTGTCATCAGGGCCACCATCTGGCAGATCGCTCTCCGTGAAAGGTATGTCGATCATCGCCCTGCGTGCTTGCTCGTGTGCGTTCGTAAGACCGTTTCCGGGATTGACGGCATGATCGAGTTGGACAGGAAAGACCTTGGCACCATTCCCATGAGGAGACTGCTCGTTGGCATTTGGCTGGTCGTAGTGCAAGAGGAGAATGAGGTTCTGATACGAGTCGAGTTCGACACTGTCGACAGGGATGGTGTCCGGAAGCGTGGGAGCGTTGAGTAGCCACGTAAGGTCGACGGGTCTGTTGCAGACAGCGTACGCATCAAACTTCTGCTCTTCGTGATGCGAGAAGCGGAAGGAGCGAGAGTGCGCGGGCATCGGTGTGGAGGTGTTGGAGAGATGGAAATGGTCGATAGTTGGCAACCTCCTCAACAAAACCCTTATATAGGGTATATAGGGTCGTGGTAGACCACATATGGCGCGGCGGTCCTTCACATTGGGTCAACGGAGGCAAGACCGGTCATCCTGTGCAACATGAACAAAGCGTCCCAAAGCCAAGCCGCGTCGCAGCCACATCGCGATGTCATACTTGGCTGTAGAGAAAACGCATGCAAGTTCCATGAGTGCGCGAGAACTACCCGCCTGGAAGTTCTGTTACAGAACGACTTGAGGGATACACGAAGACCAGGAGGATCAGAACAACCGTAGGTCGTTCAACGTGAATGCCTAGCAGCGACAGCTCAGCGCTCAGCGCTCAGCCTTCGGTAGTATTTTTGTCAACAGTAGCACAATAGAGGTGACAGCGGACATGGGACAGGCGCTTATGCGGCTAAAGATGGTGGTGGTGGTCCGGAACTAAGTGATCAATGTCGCGTCGGTAGCGTCTCTGTCTCCACGGCATTGGCCGACCGGTCTTCACTCCGCTACCAAAGTTAGCGGGTACTTTACTATACCTCTCAGAAGTTGTTGTAACCTCTCGCTCGGTTGACTCTGTTCACTTAGGTGCGACGCTTGTCGGCTGGCTTCGCGATTTAAACGTCACAGAGGATGATGGAGCTTTCCAATACGATTCGTCGTCAGGTACGAAGTACAAACAAGAAGCAAGAATACATGAACTACTACTTAGGCAAAGACCCGACCACTACGAGAGACTCAGTCAAGGTGATCAATGCCCCGCGCAGACAATGCGCGCGCGATAACCTCCACCAACTCATCACGGCTCATGAGGTCAAGAGCGCGGCGGAGACTAAAGGAAGACGCATCAGTCACAAGCTCTCATGTCTCAAAAGGGAGGAAGAGACGTACGGAATCGACTGTTTGGGAGAACGACGGGCGGGAGAGTTGGCGGCTTGGTTGATAGCATTCGACACTGCAGCGCGCGCCGTGGGTGCGGCACCTTCTGTCGTTGCGGTCTCGGCGCCTTCCTCCCCAGTCGCGCCCGTCTCGGCAGTTGCGCCTTCCTCGCCGGGCGCGCCCTCTTCAGCGGTCGTTTCTGCGCCTTCGCCAGTCGCGCCAGCCTCGCCCTCAGTAGTTGACGCAGAAGGCTCTTCGGTAGCGGGCTCTGCTTCGCCGGTAGATTCCGTAGCCGCCGGCTCAGTCTCACCAGTAGCACCAGCTTCGCCGGATGCCTCGGTCTCGCCCTCACCAGCAGCCTCAGTCTCGCCAGTTGCCGTTTCCCCCGCGGCCTCGCCTTCGCCGGCGGCAGGCTCAGTCTCGCCAGCAGCGGGTTCAGCTGCCTCAGTCTCGCCCTCGGCGGACTCGCCAGCAGCAGGCTCAGCCTCCTCCTCCTCCGCGCCCGACTCAGCAGCAGGCTCGGACTCAGCCGTAGGCGTCTCGCCCTCACCCTCCGCGCCCTCACCTCCAGCAGCAGCAGGCTGCTCCGCCTCAGGTTGTGCGGGAGCCGCAGCGGGCTCTTTGATAATAACTTCTGGACCGTACCCGCCTTCGCGTTGCGCGGCTACTTCTCTGTTGAAGGCGTATGGTAAGAGACTGAGGGGTAGAGAGGGAGATTGAGATGCGACGTACCCGAATGGTGAGCCGTAGGGGCTCGGTGCGCCGTATGGAGCCGCGAGGGCGGGGCCGACATGGGAGGCGACGAGGGTGAGAGCGGCGAGGGTCGTTGATGAGACGAACATGATTATGAGTTCAAGGAATGTAGTGGGGTCGTAAGAAAGAAGCAAAGAGTTGCAGAGAGAAGTCGTGAAGTGAAAAAGACGTAGAAAAGGAAGAAAGAAAAGGTGACCGGCACCTGACGACGATGAGCAGTTGAGTGAGAACTAGCTGAGGGAACTGGGAGGGAGGCACTGGGGTATATATGTGCGAGGGATGGTGGCGCGGTCGGGCGAGCGGGATACATCAGATGCGGTAGAGGGTACTCCGCAACCCCAGATCGGACGGGCGGGGGGCTCCATTGGGCTGTCCTGGGGCATATGCGTTCAGCGCTTCAGCGCTCGACGCTCGGGAAGTATCATTCGCGGCACACCCAACGGTCAAAGGGCGATCCTTCGCCGTCTAGATTAGTATGAAGTGAGCGCTGAACAGTCAGCTCCTTGCACAAAAGAAAGTGAGCTCGCAAAGACAGCAAAGCTCTCTTTGCCAGTAAGAAGGCCAAGCAGGTACGACTTCGAATCAATGCCGTATCCAGTCCTATGATGAAGCGTACTGCGCCGGACGCGTCGAGCCCCGGAACAGAAAGACAGCTGTATATTTCGCGTTCCATCGTGACGTCGGTCGCCAGGCATGCTTCAGAGGCGTTGGTGGACATCAAGAGGGTGATGATATCGCCGTCTGCCAGGCAGATGGCTGTGTACGAGCCAAACCGCAGCTGCTGCACAGCCTGACTAATGATCTGTGCAGATTGCGTCGCTGGTCTAGGCGCGCATGAGACGTCTTCGCAAATGCTTCACAAAAGCTATGGGTGTAGCGTAGAGGTTTCAATATCATGGCAAGACGAGTGGCCGCTGGATGGTAGGGATGGCGGTCAAAGCCAAAATGCGTCGGGGTCGGAACCGACAACTATTGATGGGATACACGTGGCTGATCGGATCAACAATCGTCGAGTTGTGGCACAACGTCTTCTCGTGTCTTCACCACCACTCAGCTCGCCCATGCGAGTAGCAACTTCCAAGAACACACTCCGAGACAAGTGCTGCAATGAGTGTCTTCTGCATTGAGGCGCGGAAAGCTGTCAAGTACGCCGCACGTCGACATCGATCAAATGATATCGGAGCGCGCTCAGTGGTCCCGGCTCGCCCGGACCCCGCATTCTGCCTCCAGAGACCTCTGCATACAAGAGCACCGGGTCAGAGCGGGCTCACTCTCATCATTGAACCTTGCACTTTAGCGCAATTAGTACGCTCTGGACTACGGATTCTGCAACCGGGACTGGCCTCAGACCGCGGGTACGTGCTGAGTGCGGGGTTCGCGACCCCCGCTTTCGGGTGCGTTCGTAGAGTTCTTGATGTATGAGGGTGTGCGGGGTCGTACCATCTGGATTTGGGATAGGATATAAGACGGCTTAGGTCTTGAGGGTTAGAGCACAAGAGCTCCTACAGCAGCGACTCGACCGCCACACTCAACGGCATCACTCCCTCATCCTCATCCGAATCATGAACGCCGCACTTCTTCGGTCCTCTGCACGGGCCGTCCGCGGCACCCGTCTTCCCGCCCGGTCGAGGTGGATGTCGTCTGGAGGGCACGGCGAATACAACGTGAGTGCCAATGAGTCTGCAATGAAGGGCAGGCGTTGACGATTCGTGCAGCCGATACCCATCAACCCGAACAACCTGCGCGCATTGAAGTTCAAGTTATACGGATACATGGGCTTCGGCTTTGTGTTGCCGTTTGTCGCGAGTGGATACCAGCTGTGAGTTCGCCTTGTTGAGAGGTGAAGGCGCAGATGCTGATGAGAAGTGTAGATGGAAGGGCGGAGCGTTCAACGCACCGAACTAGATCTGGTGACCTTAATCAAACGCATGTATGCGTCTGTACTATACCCTGTCATGTATCATCAGTCTCTCGGCTTCTGGAATCGATATTACTTGAAATTTCTGCTCGATGGCGCAACATAAGTCCTCGAGAGACCTCTGTTTAATGAGATAATCGGCAGGGAAGCCTGCGATTCGCGCAACGATACTTGCGACACACGGACCGGCGACCATGCACTTGTATCGCAGACCCGATCAAGCTGACAGTCGGGCAGCTTGTCTGCATGTCGAAGATCAAAGAGTGGGCCGAAGTGTAAACCAGAGGATCCAGTGGCAATGATCTGCCGATGTGTCTTCAGATCGCCTGCAAGCGCCAACGGCCCATTTTCATTCATTTCCTCTGCAGAGTCTATATCTTGCATCTCCACGCCACCTATAAATCCACACCAATCCATCTACAACTTGCCCCGATGTCTCCTAAAAGCCTCCTGAACCCCAACCCCCCTCCTAATATCCTCCGCACACCTCTCATCAACCTTCCGTCCCTTCCTCGCCAGCTCCTCCACCTTCCCCTCCACCTCCCTGGGCACACAAACGACCCCATCCTCATCCGCAACCAATATATCGCCCGGTCTTACTTCCACCCCAGGCAGGCCCCCTTCTCCGGAGTTGACTACAAGTGGTACTTGCACCTCCGAAGCGCGCGTGTGGGGCGACTGGCCGACGGTTGATGTGCCCAGTGCGTACAGGGGGTACGACGCGGCGATGTGTTCAGACGTATCGCGGATGCGGCCGTGCACGATTGTACCGAGGCAGTTGCGGGATTGGGCGCCGAGCGTCATTAGCCCGCCCCATACGGCATTTTGCGCGCCTATGTATCCACCAGTCGCATAAGCACACACATCGCAAAGATAAGAAGGAGAGGAAGGGGAAGAACGTACTAGCCGGCGCAGCAACGAACGCCACACACCCACTCTCAATCATATCCACAAAATGGCCCTGCAGTTTCGGCGCATCTTTATTCGTTGCCAACACCATCTTGACCGTAAACGCCGGCCCGCACAGGCGTTTGGTTGTTGGTGAGGTAGAGATAGGGTGCAGGTCGGGGATGTGGCCGCCTGAGAGGTGGCCGAGCTTGATGAGGGCGTCGGAGAGCTCGCATGTTGAGAAGTCTGCTAATGGACTTGGAGAGGAAGACATCGTTGTGGTAGTCTGGGTGAGAAGTGGAGGTAAGTAGGTGTTGAGAGAGTGAGGGGTGGAGGTAGACGGAGATGCGGCATGTGCCGGTGGACATGTTTTCACGAGGGTGGCGATGGGTGTCGAGCGAAGAGGTGATGGGCGGAAGCGGAGGACCGCTGTGGCGCAAAGTGTGAGCATGATATTATTTCGGTAAAATAAGAGCAAAGTAGTATATCCCGCTTAGCTCAGTTGGTAGAGCGCGTCACTAGTAATGACGAGGTCAGTCGTTCAAGTCGGCTAGTGGGAATAAGTATTGTCCGTTATATGTTTTTCTTTGCTCTTCGCTCTGCCTGCTTTTCCCTCTGATCGGTCGGCACAGGTTGTGCGAAGGTCCGCAATAAATGAGACAGGCAACATCCCTTGATATTCTGCCTGCAGCGCCAGCCTCAGAAACCTCTCCGTACAAAAGCTGATGTGACGAACGCGCTTGTCACGTCAGTTCGACTCGCGAGCCGCGCGCGCGAGTACAGAGTCGTGTTCACCGCTCGCCACCACCTGCAACCTTCACCCCGTCCTCCACTCCCGGGGTCCACCCCACCCCTTTTCTACTGGAATCTTCTCACAGGTCTCTGCTCGCGATGTCAGACCCATTCTACACGGACTCGGCCGAAGTCCTCCAAGACTGCCAAGCGCACAAGGACGACCTGTCCTACCTGTTCGACTTCGAGCGCGGGTTCGCGCCGCAGATGCATAGGATATGTTACAGGCAGTGCGTATCCCCCTCCATACTTTACGAATATGTTGTGCTCAATGAGGAATGGGTGGGCGTGTAGGATGGCCGCGCTGGAGAGGGACGGAATGGCCAGTCAGGAAGAGGTCGAGGCGTTGAGGCTGGAGTGTAATACCTGGTCTTTATTGCAGACTTTATGGCGGTACGCAACTCCGTACGCGCCCATGTGCTATACAAACTGAACAATACCACAGAGAACGCAAACAAGACCCCCCAACCATCCCCCCCGCCCGCACCCTCCTCACCCAAAACCCCTTCACACCAACAAAAACGCTCATGAACTCAATAATCTCCAACTCGCCCATCCTCTCCGAGCTCTCGAGCGTGAAAGAATGGCTGTACGATACCGCGCCCGACCCGGGGATGGTGGACGCTGCGGACGGGTATTGGCGGTTCACGAAGCATCGGATTGTTCATGCGCTCAGGACGCGGAGCGAGACTGGAAATGTTGTGAGGTGTATGGATCCGGATGCGCCGGAGAGGGAGGATAGGGCTATCGCCGCGGAAGATGCCGTGCGTATTCTTCTCCCTCACGTGTCCCTCTATGTCATATTCATTCCTTGTGACAGGCATACGAAAACCAACTGGTCCGAACGCTCTACGCCCACGTCCGAAAAGGCGACTTCGAATCCGCATACGAGCAATGCACACGTGCGCGGCAGTCCTGGCGCGCGGCGAGTCTGCGAGGCGCAGAGGCGTTCTCGTGGCCGGCTATCTGTACGTCTTCTCCCTCTCATAAACGCGTGATGTGTGATTATTGACAATGATTGGTCTGGGTCTGTATAGCGAACCTGTCGTACGACCCCGAGAAAGAGTCCGAAGACCCGAAAGGAAACAGACGGCGCGCGTTGTGGAAGGCGGCGTGTACGCGCGCTGCGTTGGACGTACGTCCATTTCTTCCCCCATTCCTTCCCCCATATACCAGCTATACACATGTACTAATAACAAACCACGCCAGATCCGCCTCCCAGACTCCGAACGAGCCCTCTACGCCGCCCTCGCCCCCTCCTCCCAAACATCCACCACCCTCGAATCCGCATGCCGAACATGGGAAGACATCCTCTGGGCGCGCATCTCCGTTCTTCTCGAGGAGAAAGGCAGCGCGGAGCTCGAGGCGGTTGGTGGAAGTGTTTGGGAGCGGGAACGCGGTATTCCTCCTGTTGATGTGGAGGAGGAGGACGGGGAGGACGAGGAGATGAGGGAGGCGAGGTTGAGGGACGAGGTTTATGAGGAGCTTGCTAGTCTGAATTCGGTCGCTGTGGATGACGGGTACGTTCTCTCCTCAACATTCCCTCTACACCGTCAAGCTAATTCGCAAATAATCACAGCGCCCCAGCCGACCACCCATTCCGCATATCCCAGCTGCACATAATCCTCAACAAAACGCCGCACCTCCTCACAGACTTCGCAACGCGCCTCTCCTCCCACCCCCTTCAAATCGACACCTCCTCCCCGCAGTACCCCTCCCTCACGCGCTTCTTCGCGCACCTGTGCCTCTTCATGCGCATGGCGGACGAGGAGCAGCACGTCAGCCCGTTCGTCACGCAGGTCATATTGGAGGCGTATCTGGGCGTGCTGGAGCGGGAGGGCCAGCGCGGGTTGATCGCGATGTATGCGGGGGCGTTGGGCGATAATGCTGTGGATCGATACGCGCATTTTCTCGCGGGACTCGAGTTGTCGCTCGACCGTAAGGCCCGCGGCGATACGCTCGCAGACGCAGCGAAGTATGGATTGGACACCGTACGCGTCGCGGAGAAGACCGCGGAGCTCACGGTGCAGCGGGCGTTGGAGGCGCTCGGTGGCGGGAACTTTACGGGCGATTCGTTACCCGACCTCGATCAGACGGAGGAGGAAGGGCTCGAGGAGAGCGGGACGGAGGAGATGTTGTTCCGCGCGATCGAGTGGACGACGTTCGGGGACGAGATGGCGGGGTTGGCGGTGAGGCATGTGTGTCTTGCGCTGCGGTACTTCCTCAGTACGTATCGCCACTCTCTCATTCCCTCCAACAATGGATCGCTAACATTATGTTGTGATTATAGATGTCGGCAAAGTATCGATCGCGCGCAGGCTCTACCAAACCTACCAGTCCCTCTCCCCGCCCCCCGCGTCGAACTCCTCAGCCACATCCGAGCTCCAAGCCTACATCACGCTCTTCAACGCCTGGGAAGTCCTCGCGCGCGCACGTGCGCACGCCGATATCATGCAGATGCAGCTGCGGCGCGAGAGCCGCGCGCAGAGCGTGCACGATTATCGCAAGTTGGTTGACCGTGCGCGAGAAGTGGTTGTGGAGGATGTGTTGCAGAAGGACTGGGCGGTGCTTGGGGAGGAGGAGTGGGAGGGGGACGCTGTTCCCGGTTAGCTCTCCTTTTCCCTTTCAGTCTAAGCATGATAACTGATACACGTTAACAGACCGCCAACACCTCCTCGCCCTGCACCGCCTCCGCCTCCTCTACATCCCGTCCCTCCTCACCCGCCTACACACAACGCTCCTCGCCTCGCGCCCCTACATCCCCGAGAACGTCAAGCACGCGCTGCAGCTAGCCAACGTGGTCGCGGACGAGCGGTACGGGATTTATCTGCTGCTGAGCGAGATGGACGGGGCGCTGGAGGCGTATCTGGACGGCGTGGGCGAGTGTTTGCGGGTCGGGGTTGAGGGGGGCGGGGGGGATGTGCTTAGGGTTGTTAGGGCGCGGAGGGGGTAGACTCGGTTCACTCGGAGATGGGAGTGTGCGCTGTTGATGCGCCTTTGTTACCTTTTCTTCGATGTTGAGGTTTTGTATGATGTGCTCTCAATAATGCGAAGCCGTGATATCTATGAGAAGATACTGCGCGAGAGCGAGTGTACAAAAGCTGCACGTTGGCACCCTTTGCAGCGCCGGAGAGGCTGTAAGGTGGGCGGCCCGCGGTAGGCCGACAGCGTTTTTGGCGCGGTCACCTGATGGAGGCGCGCGACGCGTCATGACGTGTCGGCGCGAAAGGCTGGCGTCGAACATGCCTGTGCCGGGAGCTGCTGCATTCGAGGAGTCTTCTCAGAGGGTTACAAACTTGTGGGCCGGAGACTTCACAAAATCGATGACCTGCCTCGTACAGTATACACGTCCAAAGGCCTCTATCTGAATCACAGTTCCATAGCAGTACTCAAGTCCGTCCGTTCATCAACAAGCACCCCTACGAACCTCCTCGCCCACTCACACAGCGCTTTAGCCTCCTCATTACCCGCATCACTTTCTCCGCGCAGCACGAGTCTTGGAACGGCGTACCCCCTCCTCGTACGCTCCTCAAGCACAGCGATCAAACACGCCCATCGTTCCTGCGTGCTCCTCCCATCATCCCCCCTCTGATCATCCGAGATGAACACGAGCGTCTCGAGCCGCGGTAAGACGACCTCGCCCGTACATCCGAGCGCGAGTAGCCATGCTTGATACCCCTTCGCATCCCAACTCAAACTGATCTCTCGCAGACCTTCCATGGGCCTCAGCACAAGAGCCGTATCCCGCGGCCCGAACCAATCCTCCTCGCAATGATACTCCGCGGGTAAACATGGGCCCGCATGCAACGCTTTGACCTGCTCGATGGTGAAGTGGGAGAGCACGCGCGAGGTGTAGAGCGGCATTGTGCCGCAGAGGGATATGATGTCGCGGTAGAGCATGCGCAGCTGCAGGCATCGTGCGAGGGTTGAGGAGGACGTGAGCGTGATCGTGTAGTCGAGATCGCCGTGCACGAGGCCTAGGACGTCGCCGATGTATGTAGATGACAGAGCTGAGAGAAGCGTATCGAGGCCCGCTACGCCCTCGGCGCCCGCGAACGCGTGGATCTGCACCGAGGCATTTGGCGCGCGGATACGGCCCCAGAGCGCGAGTCTTTCAGCTGGACCAGCGAGGCGCGCCGATTTGAGAGATGGAAGCTCGACGGCGCCATGATGCGCGCAGGACCAAGAAGGCGGACCATGCGCAAGCGAGAACGTCAGCTCGAGCTCTTCAAGGCGCGGCGTACTCCTCAGAAGCGCGAGAACCGACGACGGGCACGCGCCAGGGCGTACGCTGTGCAATACCAGCACGCGCAGAGACGGCGCGCAGAACGGTATGAGCGCTGCCCCATCGAATACGAGTCTTTCGAGACGCGGCGCGTTGAGCACTACAGCGTGTCCGAGCCCGTGCTCGTGTGCGTGCCCGGGCGTACGTTCGTGTTTGTTGATGCGGCCTTGGGACGGGACAGGCCCGTGTGGCCCCGGACCCGTAAGATGCAGCTCGCGGAGGATGGGGTATTCTCTCCAAGCCGATAACGCCGAGGCCGGACCTCTCAACGACCTCACCCTGCACGCATTCCGCCTCGCGATCTCGCAATAACACTCGAACCTGCCGCATTTCACATGCGTGTTCAGCGCTACAGTCCGGAATGTAAGAGGAGCCTGGGGAGGACCGTACCGGCTACACGTCCTACAGCACCACCATCGCCGCGCAAAGTCGAACTCTAGAGGTGCGCCTTTGGACCGGAGGAGGATGGGCTCGAGCGCGCGGGGGAATGTGTGGATTGTGGTGCCCCAGAGGACGGCAAGGGATAGAGCTGTCGTGCGCCAGTGCGCGCATACGTGCGTTGTGGCTATCCAGCCTAAGGATCCTTTCTCGTGTGCGGTGTGCGAGGGTCGCGGTTCTTGCTCGTCGAACCATGGCGAGGATGGGGAGCACCAGGATGGATGGGATGCTGTGGGCGCTAGGGTTAGGGTGGGGACCGGGTTGGGCGCGGGTGCGGCGGGTGTGGGCGGGTCGAGCGAGGCGAGAATGTAGAAGAGCTCGGCTAGGATGTCGGCGGGGAGAGTCTGGGCGGTTGAGAGTCGCATTGAAGATACGGGGAATGAGTTGGTGGTGGAGAACATCGCGAATGCTATATCTAGCGAAGCCGTTTCAGCATCGAGAAGCCCGCGTACAGTTTGATCACTACTTACCACAGTCTTCTCGCCTTTGCTCGGCAAGCTGATAGAGAAGATAAAGAGAGAGGTCAGAGTGCTGAACCAGGCAAGCTCAGTCTCATACTTGTATCACAACACATACCGTCCCAGTGACGCCTGACTTCATTCGAACGTAACGCGCAATCAGACACAGATGACTGGACGCCACAGCCGAACAATGTACTCGGCACTACTCGGCGGAACCAGCGCAACTGGGCGAGTACCGTACACTGGTACCCTCCCGGTTGACGACTTGTTGACTTCGATGGGTCAGACGCGGTCACATGAGATCATTTCCTGACGACATGGGTCAAAGTCATGATCATTCGTTCACCGTATCTGTACACATCGCTCATTCCGGGCTAGTCTGTCATAGAAACGGAGGCCACCTTCCCAGGGTATATCTCTAAAGGGGGTCTAATACCGCCTCTTGAATGTCAACGGTACGCGTACCGGTCTATCTTGGTCATCAGCTCGATGTTCCCAGGCGCGGCGTAGGGTACGCACGTCGTAGTCAGACCAGGTGTGCTCGCAAGCACCCTCGCCTTCCTCTCCTCAAAGCTCTCCCCAGCGAACTGCGGTTCATCCTTGATCTCGACCTTATACTGCGATATGAGCATCGTGAGAATGGCGATCCCCTCCGTCTCGAAGAAGCGCCTATCACGTCCGTGAGCATGCGGAAAGACCGCGAGGGTAGGCCGTAGGGCTTGAGCGCTTACCGTCCGATACATGCACGAGGTCCTGCGGAGAAGGGGACAAAGGCGTCGCGGGGCCAGTTGGGGTCGAGGAAACGTTCCGGTTTGAAGGCGAGAGGGTCGGACCAGTAGCGCGCTGATGCCGATCGGTTAGTTGGGGGATGAGATGGAGACCAATTGGATGCGTACGATTGCGATGAAGGGCGGGAGTGTTGATGACTATACGGGTACCCTTTGGTAGTGGCAGCTGTCCGCGCTCACCGGTCACGCTGGTCACGGTCACCGAGGTATCTTCCGCGCTCAGCTTCGGGATACCAGTAACCTGGCCATGGATTAGTCAGGTTTCACGGTGAGTCGCGATACCTGCACACACAGGAGGTCTACGTAGATGTTCAGAAGTCTGTCATATAGCCAAGAATGTCAAGCAACGCACTGGAGCCGCAAGGTCTCGTAGAAGACGGCCATAGAGTAAGTAAAGTTGCCCATTTCCTCGTACGCCTGGAGGGTGTGTGAGCATCTATCCACCACAATACGAGCAGCGGCACACACAGGAGGGTTCTTCGGGTCTGGCATCAGAGTCTTGATCTGTGAAAACAACTTCTCCTGCTCTTCTGGATAAAGCGCGAGGTATGCAAAGCAAACTACAACCGGTCAGAGCGTGCCGAATTGTATCTGTATGAAGACATACAGCATAAGGTATGTGCGGTCGTCTCGTGCCCAGCAAGCCTGAACTCAGGGTAAGCCAACAGGACTGCAGAGAAGTGACAGGTCCACGAACAGGAAGATGAAGGTATTGCCAACGAGTTCGCGATCCGTGATCTTGCGCGCCGAGTCGAGAGAGTCTTCCGCCGCGGCGTCCATGAGGCTGCTGAACAGGTCCGAGCGCTCTTCCTTCTTCTCGGCCTGACGACGACTCTCAATCATTTCGAACATGTATTTCTATTCAAGATCGATCAGTAACGCGTGTGATGGCCGTATGCAGCAGAGTCATCTCACATCGAGTTCGTCGTAGCCGTGATAGACTCGCTCGAGCCTCTTGCTGAAGCGCGTTGCCCAGCGAGGAAAAACAACGCGGAAGAGAATATCTGTGCTCATGATGTGTAGCGACTCCTTGAAGGTCATCGTGTGCTACCAGACGGAGGTCAATTGGGCAATAGCATACTCTATACGCGCAATGAACATACCCCGGGCGGTATCTGCATGTCGTCCGTCCACGAAACTCGCCGACCAAAACCTGCGACGCCGATGACAAAGAGAGCAATCTGTTTGTTGGATGAGCAATTGCTACCTCTCGCCCTGACATGTACTGACCGGAAGTGTCACGTCGATGCAATGATCAACAGTATACTCTGGCGCATGTTTCCATACATTCTCAAACATGTCCAGCATGATCAGTATCGTCTCATCCCACACGAGCTTGTTGTTCTTCTACTCGAACATGTCATCAGCAACATACAACGCATCATAGTTCGGATATAGTAACCTCCGAGAAAGCCGGCGCGGAGATCTTACGATAACGCTTCCATTCATCGTCCTCTGAGGCAACGATATTCCCACCGAATACTTGCAGAACCTTGTACTGGTGAACAGGCTTGGGAAAGCGTGCGCGGCTCGTCGTTATCTCCTAAAAAGCTTGGGTTCAGCGAGCTGTTCCTATGTTGTGTCCGACGGAGGTCACTCCCACCTTGATAGCGTTGGCGTCGGCAAACTCGACGAATGTCTCAGTTGAGGGGAAGAGGGTGACCTATGGATGATGGGTCTAAGGGGAGCACGAGAGAGTACTAGGGTCGATGCGCGTACCCTCGTGAGCGCATCCCATCCCTTCTCCTGGAATGCTGCAACAACGATGGTGAGTTTGTCTGATGGCTGCGCATCTCATGATACTGCACTCACGGTCATGACCTTTGCGAATGGCCTCCCCCATCCCGCCTCTATACCTACGATAGACATTGGCGATGAGGCTAGCTGGACTAATGAACTGGCGGTATCCGGGGAAGTTGCTAAAAGCCGATATTAGTATCACGCCGTGCGAAGCAGGGATGAGCTCATCGGCGCACGCACCCGATAGCGGCGACCGCCCGGCGATAATCAAGCAAGCGCTGGACGACGTATAGCCCAGCGACAGACAATGCTAGAGCAGTGACTGCATGCATCAGGGAGAGGAAGTAGTTGTGGTGGGGCCACTTCGGGTTGCGGTACTCATACTTGAGCGAGGGGCGACTTGGGCTTATAGAAATTAGTCCCGAACCGTCCGACGGGCTTACCGACGGTCTACCGGGACCCGCTGACGGACTGGAGACCAGGGGATGATATACACCACGACGTATTGCTTGGAACCTGGCACGAGTTCGCAAGCTATAAAAACACATGTATCGTCGCATGGGCTGTATCACCTTCAACAAGTATAGTACACTTCCGCAAGATGGAGTACATTTAGATCGTTCACTTCTGTTCCAAGTCCGTATTCCTTCACGCTCAGATATAGATTGGGAGCTGTGAGCCGCGTCAACGAAAGGCCTGAGATGGAACAGATAAACGAGAAGCTTACGGTAGGGTTGAGCCCGTCCCAGGTGGGATTCTTGACGAACTTCTCCTCTTCGATGAGGAAGTCCTGGCAACGAACATCAGCTTGGCAAATCCCGTGGAGTTAGCGGCCACATTGCAACGCACCAACGGCATCTCCACCAGGCTGCCCTTGACGCGCGCGAGGTCGCTCTTGACGCGTTCAAGACCGATCCCAGGCACGACGTGACCCGTAACGACCTTGGGAACGTACTCCTCGTACTGTTTGTTGTTGCGCACGAGGTCGCTGGGAACGGGCTTGAAGAGATTCTGGAAGATCGCACGGTTCTCGTGCGCGGTGCGACGCCAGAGCTCTTCGAACTCATCACCGAGTGGGTCAGCGACAAGGGCATCTTCTTCCGTCTCAAACTCGTCATCGTTTGGAATAGGTGCCGCGCGCATGAAAGAGTCGACGTGCTCGTGCGCCTTCTGCGGGATCTGAGGCTTGATGAGACCGAGGTGCTGGCGGGTGAGCTTGCGGCGTAGCGACGCTGCGAAACGCGCGGCCATGTACGGCTTGCCGTTCATCGTGGTCTTGATCATGTCCTCATCTTCGACGACGAGTGCAATCTCGGAGTCACCGTCGCCCTTCTGGCTACGGTCGTTGAGGTTGGCGGAGCCCATCTATACACCGAGAGTTAGCGAAAGCCCGTAGCCGCCGAAATGAATGAACTCACAATGACGCGGCGATCATCCACGATCATAAGCTTGGTGTGGATGTACGAAAGCTCGGATACGTAGCTATGCCGTGGTCAGTCTGAAGCTCTATTCAAGTGCAGCAGAACGAACCTGTCAAGCTCCTCCTGCTCCGTGCCCAACCAACGCTCGTCCGCAAGCTCGGTTTCATCCTGGAGAGCATGCTGACCAACGGTGTCTGAGACGTCGTCGTTGCGTCTGCCTGACTCTGCGCTGCGTTCGAACCGCTCGATGATATCGACAGCCTCCTCAGTGCTCTGCGGCAGCTTGTACGTCTTCTCCTCAACCTTGCTCGTGTCGGTCACGACCAGACCGTCCGTGTTGGCCTGATTGATCTTGATCTTGACCTCCTGCGGCTGCTCAGGGTCGGCGCTATCTCCGACGAACTGGCGTGCGAGTGCGACCTGCGCCTGGTTGAAGTCTATGCCGGAGCGCTCCTCCATACCCTTCAACAACGTCTGCTTGGGCGCATTGATACGATCGTAGACGCGCAAGTTGTAGAAGCGGATGTAGTCGGTCGGCTCGAAGCCCGCCTTGCGAATCTCTTCATAGATGCTGTGGCCGCCGCGGTTGATGGTCCGGTATTGACCCGCGAGGATGATGTTGAGCGAAGTCTCGTCCTTCACGTCGCCCGCGAAGGCGGGAACCTCAGGAATGATGACGATGACCTGTGGCGTTCGTGTGAGTATCGCGCTTTGGACAGGGTAGAATGTGAACTTACATGGAACTTTTCCCCGGCTTGAGCCGCCCGAACGATGCGCTCAACGAGCGCCGCGGCTACGGTGTTCTTCACCACGCCGCTATCTTGAGTGTTCGAAATGAAGAACTGGTTCTCTGTTTGATGTGAGCCGGTGTAGGGCGGGAAGAAACCCTATGGGCGTACCGATATAGATGAAGTGGTTCGCCTCGAGAATGAGCTGCTTATCTGTTGGACTGTCATCAGCAACCTCATAGAATGAGCTTGTGCACCAGTCCTTACAAGCGTTCTGGATACTGTGCTCCGTCAACACGCCATGACTCCAGTCACTGACGCTGCGGCAGACTTGCACACGGCAAGAGCCCTGCGGAGCAAGAGGGTAGCGCTCGGGGTCATCCTCAACCTCGTCGTCGGGGGTAAGGTGGAAGCGCTGGCGCCAATGCCGGCCCATCCCGTGCCACCGCTCAAGATGCGGGTGGCGCGCGACGGCCTCGTTCGGCGCGATGTCTACGCGATGCGGCAGCGCAAGCCAGTCATAGTGCTCATCGTTGCGGTACTTGCGCTTCTTGACCTCGTTCCAACGCTCGGTGAAGTGCTGGACAATATCAAGGACGACGTCGCCCGTGAGGGTCATGTGGACATCGTGCCAGGGCATGCGTGGTGATGTCGTGATGTCGATGGTTCCGGATACGAAGTTCTTGACATCTTGGAAGTCGACGATGCGGGCATTGTTGTAGTCCTGGCCCGGGAAGAGCGTGCGGCTGAAGTCAGTTGGGTGCACATCCGCCAGAGGGTGCGTGTGCGTGTCCCAGCGACCAAAGCAGATGTCCAGACCACCGATGCAGGCGCGATGGTTGTCTACGACCACGACCTTCTCGTGGTGCGACCAGAACTCGACGTCATCTGGAAAATATTGTTCAGGACGAGTGCAACGCATTGTACCGCAAGATGAACGTACCCTTGGAACCGATATGATCGGGATGGCGCATGCACGCAATATTGGGATGAAGTGCCTCGAGGGCATGCTTCGTGTGCGACGACGACATGCTCATTGTTTGGGTCACTTCCTTGTAGACGATCACGTAGATCTTGACGCCTTGCTCGGCCTTGCGCTTCAGGATCCGGTCAAGACGCCATTCTGGGTGGTCCGCAGGCGGGCGACGAAGGAAGAGCTCAGGTGTGAGCCACCAATCCTACGGGATCTAGTAAGACATGTTGCTTTCAGGGGAAGTCCTATGGACATCACGACCTACCAGGATGAAGATGCACTCCTTAGCACTGTCGAGCATCTCGGACAACGCCCAGAAGTAGTCACACCCATCGATGTGCCTATGTGTGCGTCAGAGGCGCGCAGTGGAACACGATACGGCCACGACTCGCCATTTCACGAAGTTCTGAGAGCGTTCACCCGCAAAGGACAGGAAGCGATGGCTCGCGTTGATCTCAGCGCGTATCTCGTCCTGACGTTTCTCTTCGGGATCATCGTGGCGACCTACAACAACACTGAGCGCTGCCCTATATGATCGTTATCGCTGAGCTTACGATCAGGGTTAAGCAAGCCTTCGCGGTAGTCAGTACACAGGTTCTACACAATCGAACCTGATGCAGCGCTCACCGATAGTAGTAGCCTCAGCGTGCTGCAAGCCCTCTTCGAGCTTGTCCGCCAGCTTGTGAAAGAGGCGCGACATGGTGGTGGAGAGGAGAGCTGTAGCTGATGCGCTCAATGCTCTTGGCAACGGGTAGACGCATCTTGGAAGTCGTGCAGCTGCGCACGGCCCGCGGGGCTATAATCACCGTTGCTGAACGCGGTTGGAGTTGCGTCACACGGTGTTCCTGCCCCTAAACGCGGCATTTTACGTGCAAGGAACCGCGGATAGAATACAGAAGTATTGATAGCTACACTTGTCGATGAACGTTTGATAGCACAAGTACATGTTACAGCAACAGTTTCAACTATGGTATTATCGAGACTGCGTCACATAGGAGGACCAACAGGCATCGGTGCGTCCATCCCTTCGCCCTCCTTTGCCCCAAGCACGTCTAGCATCGCGATACGGTTGAACATCCGGGCAGATTGAATGGCGTTTGGCTGTCCTGATCGCGGGTCTGCGCCGCCCTCCATCAGTACACGCACGACTTCTTCCGAGCCCTTGAAGACCGCGCCGGCAACGGGAGATTGACCCTTGTCGTTCTGGCGGTTCGCGTCTGCACCGTGCTCTAGCAGCATCTTGACAGTTTCGGCATGACCCGAGTATGCCGCGAGCATCAACAGGGTGTTACCTACAAAAAATGTCAGAGCCATAGCTTACTGGGTAAGAGTAGCCCAGAATATACTCGCTCACCTTGAGGATTTGTGAGATTGGGCGGGAGACCGGCTTCGACTGCGCTTTTCAACAGCTCAGTTTCGCCGTTCCGGGCTGCGTCAAACATCTTGTGCGCAAAGTCAACGGTCTCTTGTGGTAATGAGCTGGGCAGGTCCATGTTTGAAGATAGTGTACACGATAGATGTGATGCGACAGTAGGTAAATGGTGAGAGAGAGGTGTGAACGCGATTGAGCTGCGCGCGCAAAGTGGCGGCGTGGACGTGTGCATGATGCGTCATGCGACGGTGAACTGCCGCACTTGCTTCTGCCCGCCATGGCTCTTGACGTGGTCCTGACATGGGCAAACTCATGTACTTTGCTTTCAGCCGCCTCGACGAGTTCGCACTGTCACTCAGACGCCAAATATGCCCATGGAAGAGCATTGGCGCCGTCACTACTCGAATAGCCTCAGACAGCCCCATGAACTGCTACGAGAGTGGCTGCAGGCTCGCACTGTACCCGTACATCGCTCACCTCGGCCATGAACTACTCTCTTTCCGGCTCTTATCCAATGTCCCTACAGGGTCGCTGGCACTCTGATTGATAGTCCCGTTGACCGGATCTGTGGCCCTCAAGTGGCGAAAATCACTCGCGCCGTAAAAGGAACTTGAGGGCCTCGTTGGTGCAAAACGCAGCCTGTGGCTCGCCACGCTTGCGGCGCTGTGCCGCCTTTTGACGCTGAGGGATTTACGCCATTTCACGACGCTATCTCTCCTATTATCCCTGATAAAAATGAGAGCTGCTCAAAAGGCTGAAAGCGTCAGCCGTGGGGCCGTTGCTGTCCTCCTTCTTCCGAGCGTCCTAGCTTCTATCTTCCTAGGGTTCTGCTAGCAACAGAAATGGCAGAGAAGCGACCTTCTATTGAAAGTGCCGTCGACGTCGAGGAGAAGCGAGTGGTGCAGCGCAAGGCCGTCCACGCTTCCGGATGGTTGCTCGCCACGATGAGCTTCCAGGCGCTCGGTACGCAAGTCCTCGAGCCTGCCACGCCCCTTTACTAACCACACTCACCAGGAATCATATACTCGGACATCGGTACTTCTCCCCTCTACGTTCTGAATGGTATCTGGCCAGCGTCTGGAGGACCACCGGTTGAAGAGGACATCATTGGAGGCGTGAGCGCCATCGTATGGTCGCTGACCCTTGTCCCGCTACTCAAATACGTAAGCACATTTTTTTGTCCAACCTTCATCACATACTGACCGTCTTGATAAGGTCTGCGTCTGCTTGCGCTTTGGCACCACCGAAGGCGAAGGTGGGACATTTGCCCTGTTCCAAGGTCTTTACCCATCAGCGGCTTTTGAATCTGCACCGACGTACGACTCCATGATCGCAAACGGCCAGATCTCTCGACGCCGTCGGCGGACACCTAGTAGCCTCCGATGGACGCTGCTGATATGGGTATAGTCCACGATTCATTCCTTGTGCCAGAGAATCCAGCATCCTGATCCGATTTCTGTAGTCCTTGCTCGGCACAAGCTTGACGATGGCTGACGGGGTGTTGACGGCGGCCGTTTCTGTTACCAGTGCCGTTGGCGGTATCGGTGAGTATCTCACGGTTCTGCCATGGGGCTACATCTGAACGACAACATCATAGCTGTGGCCAAGGAGTCGGTCTCCAGTGACATTGTTCCCATCTCCATTGTGCGGCATCTAAGTTCAATAGCACCTAAAGGCATACTGAACCCATCTAGGCGTTTCTCGTCGCCCTGTTCATCGCCCAACCTTTCGGTACCAGCCGCCTTGCGTTTTCTTTTGCGCCGAGTGAGTCGTCTCGCCTTCGTTCACCAGCCGCGCATATGCTAATGGGACTTGATAGTCACTTCCGTGTGGATCCTACTACTGGGCATAACGGGCATCATCAACATCACAAGGTATCTAGCGTGTTCCGCCTACCCATGAGCCAACTCTTGTACTCACTATCTCTGGCAGCTCTCCTGGTATATTCCGTGCATTCGATCCTTCACGTGCGATCCTTTGGTTTGTCCGTACGAAGAAGTACGATGCGCTTTCGGGCGTTTTGCTTGCTGTGACGGGATGCGAAGCCCTGTTTGCAAAGTGAGCGCACGTCTGTTCCTCTACGGGCACAGCTGACGAACGATTAGCTTGGGCCAATTCAATGCCTTATCCATCCAGATTTCTTTCGCAGGGTTCGTATACCCTGCACTCGTTCTTGCGTACCTCGGACAAGGTGCCAAGCTCATTGTGGACGGCGACAACATCATCCAGAACGTGTTCTACACTAGCGTTCCAGGTGGAAGCGACAGCCCCATGTTCTGGTACGTGGCATTCATGACCGGCATCAGGTATTGAACTGACATCGACATCAGGGTCATGTATGTCTTTGCCATCCTGGCAACAGTGAGCGCCACCTCCCCTCGATTTCGAGCTTCGTACTGACAGGAGCGCAGCTTATCGCATCGCAAACGATGATCACGGCTACATTCAGTCTCGTGCAACAACTCATCAACTCCAAGAGCTTCCTTCCGTGAGCGACTTTCCAGTATTGCCTTTACCTGCCGCTGACCGATTGCGCCAGGCTCCGAATCCACCATACGTCCGACAAGAACCAAGGACAAGTGTATATCCCCGCCGCCAACTGGATCCTAATGATCGGGACCATCATAATGGTCGCGGCCTTCAAGAACCTCACGCAGCTCACCAACGCTTACGGCTTTGCCGTGTCTACGGTCATGTTCACCACGACAGCCCTCGTCGCCATGCAAGTCGTGTACGTGAAGCAGAAGCCTATCGTACTCGGCTTGTTGCTCTTCTTGTTCTTCGGCTTCATTGATGGTGAGTGTATCCACAGCTCTGAAGTTGTACAAGTGCTGATAATTCCCGTAGCCCTCTTCTGGGGCGCATCGTTGCGCAAGGTTCCCGAAGGTGCTTGGGTTCCTCTCATGATCGGTCTCGTCTTGTGAGTCCGCACAAGTAATTACTGGTCAACACGGCTGACATCTCTCCTCAGGTTGAGTGTCATGGTGTTCTGGAACTGGGCCAAAGGTCTCGAGGACGCTTTTGACAGCAGGAATCGCCGCCAGCTACATGACTTCATTGTCGGAAAGGACGAGACGGCCCTTGATGGAAAGGTCCAACAAGATATTGTCGATGACGACGCCATCATCGAAGATGAAGAGGCACATGATGACTCTGATGCCGCCACGCTCTACTGTCTTCCACCTGTCGCGTTCTGCGGAGACGACAAAGGTTCGGATGGACGTCGCGAACTTGGTCGTGTGCCTTTATTCGCGATCTTTCACCGGATGGCAAATGAGAAGGGCGTCCCGCATTCGTTTACTCGTACGTCCAAGGCCTTCCTGTGCGCGTATATCGTACTGAAGGGCACGTCAGGCTTCATCTCGCAATGGCCCGCGCTACCAACATTCGCCGTCTTCCTAACAGTGCACGTTCTGCCTGTTGCGCATGTCACAAATGTGGACCGTTACGTCGTGCACAAGCTGTTCGCCTTGCCTGGATTCTACGGCGCAACCTACTATCTAGGCTACCGTGACGAGTTCGGCGTCGAGATTTCGGAAATCGCAGGCAAGATCAAAGAACTGGAGGCGCGTCTTAACCCTGGTGGTGTCACCGGCGAGTTAGGGCCACAGCTCTCAGCACTGGCGGCTTCACATACTCACATGTATGTCCATTCTCGGATATCTTCTACCTTGCCATGCTCACCCCAATGACAGCGTCCCGCACTACGAAATCCTCAGTAGACCTCTCGGCCATAGCAAAGTCGCTGCCGTCGGGAACTACATCAGAGCCTTCTTGATCGAGGACGTGTATGCGCGCCTCCGCATCATGTTCCCTGAAACGATGAATTGGATCGCATCGCCTGATAGGTTCGTCGCACCGATCTCAATCGTCGACACTAACTGAAAGTATGGACAGAATCATACGCATCGGAGTTACTGCCCGTGTCTAGGCTATCGACCATGTAATTCAGTTTTATTTCTTAAGGTTATACGAGTAGCA